TAGGTTAGAAGATCAGCTATGATCTTATTAAATGTTGGGGCAGACTCGAGGGGCTGAATGGCCTACTATGTCTTATGGTCTTTCCAGGGCAGAGATTTAAACTATAATTTCTGATAACGGGTATATAGAAAATAATCAAGTATAATGACACATCCTATAGGGAACATTCCCATAACAAATAAAATGTTCTCTTTATCCAAACCTTCTTAAAACATTGTAGAATAATTTAGGAATCTATTCACACACTATTGTGTGTTAACAAATGTTCCCTTTCAAATTAATTTTCTTTATCAATTTGTTGAACAATTTATAATGTTTTTGTGTACCCAGTTAGCCAATTGGTGGATTGCTTTTCTGTGGGTAATAATCCCTTCAAGAAATAAATAATTAAAAAAAAAAAATTGATCGCTCCATCCACGACTGTTGCTGGGACGCTGCTGTGTGCAATTGGCTGCTGCGTTTCACCCACAAAATATGAAGTCAATTCACTTTACAGTCTATTCTTTGAAGCGCTTTGAGGCATCTTGAAAACGTAATAAGCACTATATCAAATACAAGAATGATTATTTTGTTATCTCAGGGCTTCTCAAATTCATGCAATGAGTTTTTTTAGCCAGGGAGGTGTGAGATTTAGCACAGACTCAGGTTTGAAACCGGGCACCTCTGCTAGGAAAAATACAACAGCACTCCCTATATTTATGATTTTGTTAGTGACTTCAAGGTTAAAGTGGCTTTGGGGCACATAAACCTCTGTGAAAAGATTGCTTGTGGATCCTGGGCTCTGTATAATATTCTCGTATTTAATTTTGTCTTGTGGATGTGGGCCAGATTTCATTCAATTTATGTTAATAAGCCAAGGACTGTGGCTAATTAAACCTTTAACCTTTAGCTGTTTGTTGTATTGAATTTCTAATAACTGAGTTAGGAGACCGCAGGTCCCATTTATATGACAGTGTTTTATTGCTGGCACTGGATGCTAGTTTACAGATTAGGCCAAGAACATGGCTCACAGCATTTAACTATTTGTTTGCCTCTGACTCTGTTTTAAATGAAGCCTTGTGATTTCAGTCCGTGCCAGACGCACTTCGCAAATGGGAAGAAAAAAGCAAGGTAAAAATCATTGAAGATGGATGTTACTGTGCCCTTCCCTCTTGTTTCTCTCCCACCTCCCCCTCCTCCATGATATCTTCCACATCTGCACTCAGTGTTGTCAGTATCCCCCAGGACTTCTCAGCGACGGTCACCATCTGGGGCCTGCCTTTGTTTTTTACTGAAAAGGAACTGACCCCCTGCAGCCGTGTCATTACCAAGCACCAGCTATGCTCCTGGGGCTACATACATAAAAATACACGGGTGGAAAGGAGCGGTGCAGAGTAGGGTGGGTTAGGAGGAAACATTTAAAATAGCTCTTCACTTTAAATAGTACTGAATAATTCCCCAGAGAAAAAAAAATCGGTCATTCATTTCATGGCTGTTTGCAAAACACTGCTGTGCACCAATTGACTGCCACAAATACAGTCGCTACACTTCACAGTGATAGGGCGCACTATCAAATGCAAGGATTTTTATCTTGTAATTTCAATCTTTTCAGAAGTATCTTTGAATCAAAATGAAAAGAGAAGGTTCATACTTTTGTTTTTCGTTAAATCTTCTTTGAAACTAATTTAAACAAAGATGCGTCGATCCATGGCTACAAGATCCATGCCTTCACACCAGCAGCATGCATTACCTTCACTCTAACTATAGATAACAGTTTCCAAATGTTTCTAGGTCACCGTGCAGTGAGCCGACAGAAGTAGGCCACCAAATTGAGCATGTTCAGGTTCATACACTTAGGTGGGGAGAGGGGGGAGGGGGAAGATGTCAGTAATGTTGTTAAGGACACCTGAAACAGAAGTTCTGTATGTTGCCTGTGCAGTCTTTGTCAATTTGGCTTGGAGCTTACCAGTTTCCAGCATTGGTTTTCAATATCGGAAAATGAAGTTGTCATAAAAACGCCAGTCAGTCTCATAAAAAGTTTGTACGGCTGGGGAATGGGGAAGGAGAAGATATTAAACCCAGAGCAATACTTCAACAGACAGTAGAATATAGGTTTAGAGTTGCAATTTCAAGACGGATACTAGGAAAGCTTTCTTTATTCAGAGGGTAATCAATAGCTGGAAAGATGGACGAGACCAAGACACTGGGAAGCGTTTAAAAGCAGCTTGGAGTTGTGACGGGGGGTGGGCGCGGCAGTGTAGGTGTGCTGGAAGGATGAGATTGGATGGACTTAAGAGTCTTCTTCATCCAAACTGATCTTGTGATGTGATTAAAGTAGACCAAATCTCAGTTTAAGTATTTAAGTGCCCTCCAGAACTTGCCAAACGTTACAGCAACCTTCCCCAGGTTGGTTTCTGCACAGATATTGGTTGCCACTGTTCATTCATGAAAAGACATGAAATAATATGAATGGCAATTTAGGACACACAAGCACAGATGTTTCTGGAGAAGACGTTCCCAGTGAAAGGTTCAAACAGACACAGCAATGCCCTACCAGGAATTAACCAAGGGGCAGTGAAAGAGGCAATTACGACTCTTCCAAAAGGTTATTACTGAATTTTCAAATGCAAGCAGAAATTTGGGGGTCTCTTCCATGATTGACTATTTTGTGTACTTGAGAAGGTCACCGTTGCCCTGAATTTATTTCACTTGTAGATCATCTCGATCAGATATTTCAGGCTTCACCCACAGAACTTTGTCCAGCTGTGTTCAACTGGTGACAGATGTCCTGTTTGAGATTCATAGCAGGCTTATCCGTTTCCATTTTAAGGGGAATCAATGCTTACACAGACAGCAATTCTCCAAGGTCTTCAGTGTCATTGGCAGCACATGCATGGAAATGAGGGCTTCGACTGTCAATCACGTGACTTATATCAACCACAAAGACCCCCATTCAGTCATTGTGATCTGCAATGCACAACAAAGGATTGTGCATCTCAATGCATAATTTCTGGCATCAAAACCTGACTGTGTTCAACCTCATTCGGTCGTGTCTGGTTATAGCAATTGTATGCAGTATAGTAATCGATTGGATGACTGATCTGGTTAATTAATGACAGTGCAATTGAGGCCAGGAGCCTGGACTCAATTTTAAAAACAAACAAATGGCTTTGATGCTGTGATGAGAAGATGATTTTCTGAAAAGGAAGCCATCAAATGGCCTGAAGAGCCTTCATTCCAACTTTGTGATTTAGGTGTGGCTTAAAGCCTTGGCTTGTGATTCTTTTGCACAACATGCAGATAACAGCATAAACCTCAAAAACTAGGCACTGCAATACAGTTATTGTTGTCATTGAGCAAATTTTCAGTATTTTAAAGCAGTGATTCATGGGTTTGGCCAATTTGGAGAAGCTTTACAATGGAATCTAAAATGCCCTATTCAAAAACTATTTCCTAGAACCAAATGTGCATCACACTGACCTGCTGGCACTCTGCTCCAACTGGGTCTTCAGGATGGGTAGGGTAGTGTGACCCACATCAGGTTACTTGTAGGAAGTTAGAATCCTGTTGCTAATTCTGCATTTTAGACTTCAGTAATAGATAAGTCAAAGTGTATAGAATAATTGTCGCCCATTTTTGATATATGATATATTGATTCAACAGAAGCTGATTGGCTCCATTGTTCAATCTCCTTTCCTTGTATTCATTTTTGTTTTATTTTCACTTAAATTTTTGGCAGGGCTGTCTAGAGAGTTGTTAAATCCTAAGGACAAAATCTATGACAACAAAACACTAGACTAGATCAAAGTCCCAACGTGAGGTTTGTACCCAGAACATTGATGCATTGGATCTTGATCACATCACCATGTATTTCCAATATTTGCGGCATTTTTCCAATTTAATGTTTGCATTTGTAGCTTTTTTAAAATATCTACAGTTTTTTCTGCCTCTCTTCAGTGTTGGCTTTACACTCCATTTGAGATGTTCACCAACCAGTCTACAGCTCCCTCCACTGGCCTAAACAAGGTTGCTTCAAAGCTCAATTTGATAATACAGGACTGTGTTTATTATTAATTTTAAGTCTAGGTTTGCTTTAAGGGCACTGTGTTTACTTGAAGGTAGCGGAAAGTGGTGGAAGCTGAACTTTTTTAAAACCAGGAAAAAAAAAACCAATCTAACTAAACAGTTACGCAGAATAGTGCAGGTGACTACGGCATAGAGTTAATAATACTTGCATTTGATATTGCACCTTATCACGTTGTTGAGACATCTCAAAGCGCTTCACAGAATATATTGCAGAGTGGATTGATTGTATTGTGTGGCCAAAATGATAATTATAGTCTTAAATAATAATTGCATTTGATATATAGCGCCTTATCCCATTGAAGAAGCGTTTCTGCGTGCTTTACCGGATTTTACTGTAAACTGTAATTTGTAGGCGAACACGGCAGACAATTTGCATACAGCAATGTCATACAAACAGACACACACACAGTGAATGATCCCATTCCAAGGGATTGTTGACCAATTCACATGAAAACTCCTGGTGCTCTGGGCAGCAAGTAATATTTTGGAATTTAATGTGTGAGAAAGGTTAAATAATTTTCCACCCAAACAAATTGTGTTTTGAGTTTCAGCTTCTTTGTGTGTTTCAGGCAGTTGGAGAATAAATGGTTATTCATTTAATTGTCTCAGTCAGCAGTACCTTTGAAGTATAGCAATTTCACATTGTTTCTGATCTTTGTCATTCTAGCACAGGGTTTCCATAAGGTCGTCTATCATGTGGTACATGAAGGCACAGTTGGTTGATTAGCAAGGTAATACAATACCTCAATACAGGAAGACACTAACATCACTCACAGGTCTCATCCATCTGGAAACCTTTCATCAGATAAAACTGCAAAATGAATTCATGAATCGTCAGGATTGGGGAAACAGTAACAATTCATAGAGATGGTGTAGATGTTCTCTCTTAGACGCCTACTTGTTGGAAGGAGGAAGATAAGTTTGAAGATTTGGGGATGGCAGAAAATAACAGCAGTGAGCAGCCTGGCAAACCAGACGATAATCTAAGTGTAAGTGCACAAGATTCTTCTGTAATAAACAACGTGTTTTATTGAGGTTAAAAAAATTATGATATTTGATAAAAAGTTTGTTGTAATAAATAATAATCCTTGCATTTTGATATAGCGCTTTTCACGTCTTCTAGATGTCTCAAAGCGCTTCACAGAATATACTGTAAAGTGAATTGATTGTATATTTGTGGGCAAAACACAGCAGCTAATTACGCACAGCAGAGTTGTGATAAGATCCTGGATAAAATGTTGCATTTCCTCCCCATTATAACATTTTACTTGTATATGCAAGTTTCAAGAACTGAAAGTGAAATGGTAAGAGTATGTTTTTTTTAAAAAAACTGCTAATATATAATATACGCAAAGTTATTTCAGGCATTTCTGAATCTTTTAGATTAATGCTATTCCCATTTGGGAAATTGATGTATATGATTTATACACCAAATTGCAATATTCATTTTAAGGAAGTACTTTGTCATTGCATCCATGTGTTTAATGACGTTTCTGTCTACAACAGATAGAGCAGTAAATTTTAAGTCATTGAACCAATAACAGATCTTAAAACAGTTCAATTTACTTGACTATTATTTTAGATGCTTTGACTTTTGTGCAGGATAAGCATTATCAAATTCATGTTGCACTTATTTGAAATCAAGTGAATTAATAAGAAAGAGAAGTGTTGAAGGGTACAGAGAATGTGAGCAGGAGAATGGGTTAAGTTGGATGGTTAACCTGGAGCAAAGCACCCACATAGACTTGATGGACTCAATGGCCTGTTTTTGTATGTGAGATTCTCTAATTCTAAGTAAGTCTTAATATATTTAGAACAATAGAAATTTACGGCACAGAAGAAGGCCATTTGGTATTCCCATAGCATAGTGGTCAGTGCGCTCACCTCGCAAGCGAGTTGACCCGTGTTCGGTTAGCGGGCGGGTCGATACCTTAGACAAGATTCCTTGCTCTGTTTTCCTTTCCTGCCTCTGTTTATCGAGCAGTAAGTAGGAACTTGGTTGTTAGTCAATTGGTGCATACTTTCCTGGGGTAATAAACCCTCCAAAATGTAATCACTCAATCCATGACTGTTTGTGGGATATGGCTGTGTTCAATTGGCTGCTCCTTTTCACCCACAAAATACAGTCAATCCACTTTCCAATATTTTTTGTGAAGCACTTTGAGACAACTCAATGACGTGACAAGTCACTTTATCAAGTGCAAGGATTATTATTATTATTATCATCATGTTTCTGCTGGCTCTTTAAGAGACCTATCCTTTCAGTTGTATTTACCTGTCCTCCCATTCCCTGTGGGTTTACTGTTCAGTGCTCTCAGATTCTACTCTGCATAAAGGGCGCTATATAACTACTTGTTGTGGATTACTCCTTATTAGAAGCAATTGATTCTTTTTCAAAAGGCACAGTAGAACCGACTTTTTCTCGACTACCTGTAAAAGACACTCATTTAAAGAACTGTATTTTTAGCCACCCGGGGAGGAGTCTCAAAAGAGGGGAAATTATTTCCTTCCTTTGCTTAAGAGTCTTCAGTTCCAGCCACTGAGAATTCACACAGGCAGACTTTCTGTTTGGCATTTCTGGAATATTTAAAGGCATGTGGTGCTTCCTGAGCTAGACAATACAAAAATTTAGACAAGCCAAAACATGATCAATGGGGTACTGCTGAAATGGAAGCAGCTAAGATCATTGCAGCTTACTGGTACAAGGTAATATTAAGCTCCTTGCTGCTTGTACAGCTAAGATCGCCCTCCCCATTTAGGCAGTGACCTGATGGCTTTTCAGAAGCTATGTGGGATGAATCTGTGTGCCAAACCCCCCTCCCCTCCAAAAAAAAAAGTGGGTCTAGATTTACTCGATTTTCTTAATATTTTAAAACATTCAGAACTTTGATGAATTTAAGTTGTTGAATTCATAATGGGAATCCTGTCATTTGATATAATGATATAATTCATGTCGGGAGGCTGTCTCAAAGCGCTTCAAGGGATTCACTGTAAAATATAGTGACTGTGATTTGTAGGTGAATGCATCATCCAATTTGTGCATAACGATATCCCACAGACAGACAAAGTGAATGATTAATTTTACTTTGGGGGATTGTTTGACCAGAATTTCCTCCCTTTTTCTCAAAACAATTCTTGAGTCAAAAAAAAGTGAACACCCTGAACCAATAATTAATTCAAGGAAAAGCAATAGACATTGGATATCAGGTGATCTTAACATAAGCCAATGACTCATCACCCGTGTGTCACAAAAGTCAAAAGGAACACTGTTGGTAAGTGACAGCTCTAAACACATCATACTGAAGCACAAATGCCCTTCTGAATGTTGCTCAGAATGAACGTTGCAATCATCCAATCAGTAATATTAGCATTCTGTTTTTTCAGGGCACTTCTGTTATTGCCATATATTATAACACTGTGCATTTGTAATCATAATTTCCTCTAAAATCGTAGTTACTGTAATAATCCTCTCAGCGCATTTCAATCAGAAAATAACCGGTGTACGCAGAAAGCAATTGATTTTCTTGGAATTCGATTTGGATTCTTGAACCAATCATATGTGAATGAATGCCTAAAATATATAGACCCGCTATGCAGTAGTTGACCACCTCATTTTAGTGGGTGACCATAAAGAGTGTGATAGATGCCTGAGAGGGATGGAAAATATTCATTAGTCACATAATGAGATCCTGAAAGCTGGTGTCTGCACCTTGTAATCTAAGTCAGTAATAATACAGTGCTTTCTTTGATCTATTTATTATTCTACCACTGGATTAAAATGCCTCAAAGCTACATTTTGAAGTGACAGCCAAATGTCAATTCCACTGTCTCACTGTCAGCTAGATTTCCGGAGATGGTTTGAACTGTAATCCTCTGAGTCTGTTGTGCATTACTCTGTGTGGTTTTGTGTTTCCTTTATAATAATACAAGGAAGCCAAGATATACTATACAGTTGCCTGGATAATGTGGCTGCTCTGTTATCTTTATCTTAAACGATGGAATAACACAGCATGTATTATTGATGGCATTTACAGTGAAATTTAAGACTATCAGCTATTGAGCGTGTAGTGCAGTGGATGTTTGAAGATAACACCGTATTAAGATTCATAAACTCCTGGATTATATGGACTGGTTTTTACATTTGCATTGTTATAAAATGTGGCCCATTATCAAATATGTTAATAAAAATATATACTCTCTCTGACATTGGCAATCCTGAACGATTTTTGCAATGTTGTTGCAAAAAAATTTCCCTACGTTTTTACTGTAACACTGCAATTAGGAAGAGACTCATTATTAAAGTCCCAGGTTTTAGATTCTAAATACCACTGTACTCTATGAAACATTTAGCATTTCACATTACTCGACTATCCCCTGATGCTTTCCAGGGGTAGTCAAATATTAGAATTGGGACCTGGAACTTTCAGTTCATGTTTTAATGAGCTTCTATTTCCATATTGTACATTGTAATTCATTTATAATCAGTGAAATTCCAAAGCAAGCCATTACCAATAAGTTTACATATTATTTATCTTCTCTAACTTTAATAATTTGCCACTCCTACTGGTAACTGACTTGAATTTGATATTGAACCAAACCTAAAACATATCACATCTAGTTTGTGTGAACTGTTGTCATTATTGCTCAATGAATAGAGTGTATTAACATGTGACATTTCCTAACTAGTGGATTCATTATTAATCCTTTGTTTAATGACTACATGATTTGTGTGCATTCTCAGGTGGTTTCAATAGTAATTGATCAGAACTCCATTTTCATGCCCAAGAGTGATTTTAAAATATCTTTGGTGTGCAGGTTTCTGAAATCTCGGTTTACGTGACCAATGTGGATGGAAATGTGCCCGTGAAAAGAAAACACCCACGAAAAGGCCGAAAGAGACCCAGATTTTTGCGGAAACATCACCTCGATGAAAAGACCAAGTTCTTATTTACAAACAAAAAGATTATCCTCTTTACTTTGACAGTTCTTGTCCTTTTGGTTTTAACATGGACGTTACTGTGGATCTTTGTCTGTGAGTCTTTCCCCTACACTCCCCTTTTTTTGTTAGTACTTTATTCTCCATATTTGTGACACAGGTAGATTAATTAACATGTCCTTCAGGAATCACTTCCCTTTTGACAACGACCAAATATGCATTCATAGACTATGGGATGAGTACAATGACCTGTGCTCATCCCATTATCAATTTGCTTCAATTCTTGGGTCAGTTTAACCCTAAATTGGTCTAGGAGAAGTCCAGAGATTTAAAAATGCTCTTAATAATACCAGTGCCAAATTGACTTTGCTCTGGTTTCGCTTTTACTGCTCGTGGGCAGTTTAGTATCTGTGTTTGAGAGCTGCCCCTTGATTTGTGCAGGTGCCTACCTTCTTCGTGATATTTATCACCATATTGCAGTTATTCTTGACTATTCTCAGAAAGTTATTTTCTGGAGAAGTATGATACACATATCCTAGCTTACTTATATACTCTCTCTGACAATGGCTATCCTAAACAATTTTTCCAATGTTCTTGCAAAAGCTTTTCCCTGTTTTTACTGTAACACAGCAATTATTATTTCTTCATCTGGTATTCAAGAGCACTTCAATCTTTGTCTCTCCCTCCCATAAAGTACATACAAACACATACCTCTCATAAGCCTTTCTGTTCATTGTACTTCTCAAGGTTCCTCCTTCACCCTTCACATGTCTAGTTTTCGATACTCCTGATATCCATCACTCTGCACTTATAATGAAGGTCAGATATTCATATCAGCGTCAAGTCATTTTCATAACTGTTAATCCTTTCCTTACAACCGCTGAATTCCACATGCAGCAGCAACATGAATGTTGTCTTTTAAACATCCCTAGTGAACTTTCAATGACCCATTCGAGCCCTACTTCGACTTTGGAGCCAGAAGCGTGACTGTGTTGACCACTGACACTATCTTGCAATAGCTTTTGCTAAAAATTTGCCCTGGATTTAGATTTACTGTACTTTCTGAGAAATTCAGAGCAAACGGAATCGGTCAAATTGTTAAATTCTGCCTCAACTTTGAAACCAGTTTTCATTAAATGGACTTTTACAAAATAGGCTTCAAAATCATGACTGTATTTAAGAACTTGATGAATTCTAAACCCTTTCTAATGCTAAAAAAAAGTTTAGATCCAGATGGAATTTCTCTCCACTTGAACCTATAAGATCTTTAATAATCCATGTAGTGTTAGTGAACAATAATATTGTTCATCCACACTACACTTCTGTAATTACAAAGAAACGTGAGACTCTATTACACATACCAATATAAGCCTTACAATGCCATTAGACATTGACTGGAGCAAAAAAAAAATAGGTCTCAACATTTCCTTCATCAAAATCTGTTTCGGTTTGTTAATCCATTCAAAGAACTTACATAAGTTGCTATGCACTTGGTACTAATGATTGGACAAATGTAGTTCCAGGATTGTTAAAACAATGCATCGGAAATGTGCCTTTCTTTCTCTCCATTCTCTTCATTGTGCAGTGCGGACTGAAAATGGCAATCCCTTATATTTTGCTGGATTATTCCGTATAGCAAATTTTGAATTTGTTCCCGAGTATCGAAGAAGGGATTCGTCTGAATTTCTTTCCATGGCGGAGAAAGTTCAGCAAGTGGTAAGAAAACATTGTATGATGCAGGGCGCCAGTATATTGCATGCATGAAACACAGGAAACATTCTACAATGACTCAACTGCTTAATCTGTGAGCAAGGCAGCTACAAATGAACATGTACTGACTGGACGGGGCAACGTGAAATGTATTCCACATACCATCACAGTTGCATCACCTCTACCCTGTAACTCGTCATTAGAATTGTGAAACAGTTATGAAATTTAGTTTCTGTTGGATACTTACTTCTTTGAACATAAAATTAGGGATTGGCTTGGACTCCTCTCCCCGCATCACGGTTGATACTTTGTACAGCTGGACCCCATTGTGGCCCTTCATGTTGCTGTATTCCCTGAATATTAGTCAATAGCTCATAAGATAACTTTTACGGAAGGTAGTGTCAGATTACATAGATAGAAGACAGAAGGATTTAACATTTCTCTGATCGCTATAGTAAGCAATTGTTTTGCTTGTAGCAACTGGATCACATACCAAAATGATTGTTAGTTTTAGTGATCAGCGTATTATAGACTCTACAGTTTATGAACTGCATATTTTTATATACAAAGCAGATTTATATGTCTGGGAAGATTACATGCTTGTTTTTTTTCCCCAGAAGACCGAATGTTAGTTTACCTAGAGTTAACAGATTGACTTATTACGAGGCGATGTGCAAGAGAAGAATTGTGACACTTTGGAAATTAAAAACTATTTGAAATAACTAGTCCAGTTTAGTTCTGAGAAAGGGTGTGGATGAGTGATAAAATTAGATAATTATAATAATAATCATTGCATTTGATATAGCACCTTATGACGGCCTTCGAGACTACTCAAAGCACTTCACAGAATATACTGTCAAGTGAATCGGCTGTATATTTTGTGGGCAAAACACAGCAGCCAATTGATTGATAAATGAAGTTGATGTCCTTTTTGTTACTGTAACTTTTGCTATTGATGAGCAGGTGAATTGTTGGTTGTTCTGGGAGCAAAAAAGAATTGTTCAGGGGAATGTACGGAGGGAATGAGCAATCGAGGGAGAGAGTGAGTGGGGCTGAATATTATAATATAAGGAAACCCCCACAAGTACCTTCCACCTGTTGCAGGAAAAATCCCATTGAGATCGTGAAATCTTAGTATTGTCCTAATCTGAAGGGATTTTACCCATCTCTAATATGTTTTTGTTTGGTGCCTTCAGCCACTACACCCCAACTACCTGGAACTCCCTGCCTCAATCCTTCTGCTTAGTCTCCTCCCTATCCATTTTTAAAACCCAACTGAAAACCTATCTCTTTGACCGCACTCCCCCTCTCCTTTCTTCCTTGCTTAGCGTTCAGCCCTGTACGTTAGCTCACTCTGAGATGTTATCCTGTGTGAAAGACACTATATAAATGCATCTTGTTTTTTGCATACAAATTAATTAGAGTACATCTGATCGTTATATTTGAATGAGTGTTATTCTCAGTTACAGCAGTGCAATAGTTAACTGGGTGATCTCCCAGTATTGTAACAAAACTCTTGTCTTCTGAATAGATAAGTTAAAATCAACCATCTGTTCAGATTCTATAACTGGTTAGCTTTGCGGTTTAGGTTGCTGTACTATCGGGTTCCTCCATCATGGAATGGTGTTATGAAGTTTACATCCATTTGTAAATGAACTTGTCACTCAAATAGCCACAGAGAAGCAGGTTCAGTAGCTTGTTTACAGCTGATTATAATTACACACTTCCATTTCATCTGGTCCATTTTTCGCCTTGTATTTTCCTTCCCCTTCAGATGAAGAATGTTTACAAGAAATCGCGTTTCGCCAAGTTATACAAGCAATCAATCATCTCTGACCTGAGGTAAGGTAAACACGCTCAGCTCAACAGAGTGTGACATGGGATGTGAGGATTATCCCAGTTGGTGATTATTCCTGTTGCCTACCACTGAAGGAAATGCGTGCATTGGGAAATTAGTCATAGAAAAAAATAAACTAAAATATTATTAAATGCAAATTATCTTTGTTTCTATTTTTTTTCCCACTATACTGAACAGAAATTCACATCATAATACCATTTCAGGAAAATATATATTGTCAGTTTGTGTATGTGTGTGCGTGTATATAGATATAAATATCTATATATTAGATATATCATATTATAAATATATATATCTGGCCTGCTCTCTGGAACTAAACCCCAGAGTGCCTCTTCCTCGCCCCCTCACCACCTTTAAAACCCACCTTAAGATCTTTCTTTTTAGCTTCACTTTTAGTCAGCCTTCTCCTTTCCCTCGACTCTCCCCACTCAAGTCTGGACTTCCAGTCAACTCTGTGAAGCACTTTGAGATGTCCTCCTGACATGAAAGGCACTACATAAATGTAAACTTGTTGTTGTAGATGTTGTATACATTTTATGAATGCCCTTTTTGTGAACATGACCTCCTATGTGTTTCTTTTCTAGTAACAACAACAATGGTGGCGTCCTAGTTCACTTCTGGATTGTCTTTGTGGTCCTAAATGTGAAGAGTCAATTTATATGTGAGGATTGTATCAGCGCTGTCCTAAGGGATTCCATTCAGACCAGTCTGGTAAACCGTTCATCGGTTGGATATCTCCTTGGACTTCCTGTGGACCTGGACTCGATTGTTGTTAATGGTCATTCTTTAGCCCTTTTTTCTCTGCTATTTGCTACAAAGTGTATTTACCACTATCAGTTCTTTAGTTGGTAATTAGTCTGGTTCCATTCTCTGCTGTCCATCGCCATACAGCAGGTTTAGAAGTTTGAAGATGTTGGAATGATGAGAAAACATTTTCCGATTCTGTATTTTAACTATTGCTTGTTTTTACTCTGTGATCAACAAATTCAAGGGCCTTTTGTCAATGCATGTGTGTTGGTGGTTTCTCTTGAGGATTCCTTGTATCTGCGTTGACTTTGTTTCAGTGTCTACTATCACAGTACATTAACTGCACTCCAATGTTGTTTACACACAATGTGTACAACTTGTAAAGTACTAATGTTTAAACTGTTATTTTTTACTTAATAGCTGCCCTCCGGTCAGATTACATTGCCACAGCTACACCAGGTGAGATTTGTTTTAAGTGCAAATATTAAAACAAGTTTTTGATTAAATTGTAACTAAAGGTATCTGCATAACATCCATTAAGGAGTAAACCACAGCAGTACAGGGAAAAGGCAGGTAAATGGGACTGAAAGGATTGCTAGCTCAGACAGAATGTGCCGAATGACCTTCTTCTGTGCTGTAAATTACTGTGGTTCTAAGGAGAGAGAGCTGGGATTTCTAAAGAACTTTTAAAACTTATTTCTGTGCAAATTGAGCAGTTCTGTGTACTTTTCAACTTTTCTTCTTTTTGATAACTTAATTATTTAATATCCTGCTAGTCAGTAATACTTAACGCTAATACTTATTAATCCTCGCATTTGATATTTATGTTGGGAGACAGTCTGAAAGCACTTCACAGCCTTCACTGTAAAGTGTAGTGACCTTGTATTTGTAGGCAAACATGGCAGCCAATTTGCGCATAGCAGCATTCCACAAACATCCAAGAAGTGAATGACCAATTTAACTGCGAGATTGTTGGCCACGACACCGGGAAAAGCTCCTTTATCTTTTCATCAACAACAACAACAAGATTCCATTTATTGAGCGCCTTTCACGTCAGGAGGACGTCCCAAGGCGCTCAAATTTATCATGGGATTTTTAACATCCACCTGAACAGGCAGACAGGACCTCAATTTAACGTCTCATCTGAAGGACGGCACTTCTCTTATGCAGCACTTCTCCAGCACTGCATTGGAGTTTCAGCCCAGACTCTCAGCTCAAAGTCATAAAGTTGGTCTCGAACCCACAACCTCTGACACCGAGGTGAGAATGCTACCAACTGAACCAGGCTGATTGTCAAACTACATTTGTACTTTCTCACACATTTTGTTCCTTCACCCCTCTCACGCATGTCATTTCTCTGAGACCTGAGAGATTTGTGAGAAGATAGAAATATGTTGCCTCCCTCTCTGAGTCTCAACAATGTGATTCCTCTCCCTACCCCTCCCCTCTAACTTCTAACTAGCCTAAGGAAAATGAAGCAAAAATTGAACTCATAGGTACTACTTTTTTATCAGCTCTCAGTTTAGTTCTATGTGGCTCTCGACCTTGGCTCTTGAGAGACCACGGTGGTATAATATCGGGTTGTTGAAGGAGTCCGTCCCTCAGTCAGAATGAGTAACTGTTTCATTAAAGCATGAATCAAGGCTGCAGTAGCATTTTACTTTAAATTAAAAATTGACGTTAGCATTTTGATGCTTTCAGGTTCCAAATGTAGTAGAGAAAAGCACGCAGACCGGCCCGGTGTTCAAGTCCCTTTCAACTTGTCTGCTGCCTCTGGAAGTCTGAGCTGCCACTACAAACTCACATCATTGCTAGGACACATCATTCGCCTCTCTCTTGTGTCCCTTCAGTTTGTACCTGACAGCTGTGTCACAGATTCCCTCATTATTTATGACTCCCTCATGCCTATCAGAAGTAAAATGTTATATGGGTATGTACAAAGAAACAAACAATCCTTGCATTTGATATAGCGCCTTTCATGTCAGAAGGATGCTTTTCAAAGCTCTTCACAGAATATATTATAGAGTGAGGTGACTGTGTTTATGTGGCATAAGTAGCTGACATGGCATTGTATTTTGCACATTCTCATGATAAACTTTTGCTAAACCTGACAGCTTATGATTCTGGCAATCATACCAGATTGTCAAACCATCAAGAAAACCTTACATACTTGTTGGATATTTAGTACTATCTTCTCAGACATTGTACAGTGGAAAGGTGTTCAGATATTGATTTCTACCTTTCGACCGCTTGTAACTGCTGTGAATGACAGACACAATATGTGAATGACTGAACACACCAGCAATGGAAATGATCTCTTACTAAAGATTTTATTGGTATCTGCTAAAAAGAATAGTAACAAAGATCATGTGCATTTGTTCATTTTTTGTAAATAAATTCCTAATGCAGCCATTTCATGTATAGTGATTCCAGCTGCAGAATCTTATTGGCAAAATGTGAGGAAAATATACAAATTTTGCCCTTAGTTCGTGGTCTCGGGTTGCTTAGATTGTTGATTTGGATCAAAGTATCGATTCTATTTGGACTGAAATTACATTCAGCATTATGCATATATAGTGGCTTTAGCAATGTGATTCCCCCCATTATAATTGCCAATGGCACTACCTGTGAAGCTGACCAGAATATTAGCTTTATATCTAAGTCAAGCATTTAATGAGCATGAGTTCATTTCTATCACTGGTGTCCATTTTTATTTCAGAGTCTGCGAATCCTTTGGGTCTACCCCAGTTTCCTTTGTGTCAACTGGCAACGCTATGTTCTTGTCCTTCAAATCACTCAGGGTGCACGGAGTGAAAGGAATGAATGGATACTTTGAAGCAATTCCACAGGAAAGTAAGTTGTAAAACAGCTTTAAGTATTGTAATCTGTATTGTAATTCTTACCAAAACATTGATCGAGTTCTGTGCAAGATCCTATGATCCGTTGAATAAATTGGTGACAATCTTAACTTAGCAACTAGGTCCCAGTTCCTAAATCAACATCAAAAAATTGACCATAATTTATTACTTTAGTTTGAATTGGACAATCTGCAGTTACAATGGATTACTCTTGTCTCATGCATTCCATGTAGGGAATTTGTTAATGTAGGTTACATTCCTCCGTTTGATAAATTTAGCAACATTGTCCCTATGCACTTATAAATAAATGAAATGCAATTTTAAAACAATCATTTGCTTTTACTTCTAGACCATTATGGCACCTATAATTAATGGAATATTATTTACTCATAAGCACAGAGGTGCATTTTCTAGACATACAAAATAGAAGAGAATTTGATATGAGATGTACGATACAGATGTGTGACTGAAGCCTACATTACGTTGCACGACATGGAGGTCCCAGAATAGACTAAGTCTCATGTGAGGCCTATCATGAGATGATTGCTAGCATCCGCTGGCAGTCTTTTTGTTCAGACTTTATAAAGAGAATTCCTTTTCCAAAACATAGTGAAAGGTTGTTAGGCTTAGCAAATGCATGTAATTGACCCCAGTGATTTTACAGAAGTCCCTGCACTGATGAAGGCTCAACTTTATCTACCTGCTTTAGAGAAGCGGCCCTGTGCATAAATGTATATTTGTGAAGCAAATGCATGTATTGGATGTTGTGCCTCTGGATAGTTAAGAATTATTCACTTGGTGTGCACTGATTAAACACATTACATGCTCCAATAAATTACCACCACAGAATTTTTTTTCAAAGAAAAACTTGCAGTCATAACTAAAGTTGAAAACCAAAAGGTTGTAGGGTTCAGTCCTCCGTGGTTGGTTTAAATTCAGTTGTCAGGTTTGCACCTTTATTGGTCAGTCCTTCAGTGCTCCACTGGATGGAGCAATTTTCAATATTTTAAATTCACAGGAAAACTCACTCAAGCAACAAAACTTTGGCTGGTCACAAAACTGACCCATCAGTTCCAAAGAAGTATATAGACCTGACCTCACTCAGTGTGTTTAGAACCTACAACGTTTAGATCATTCTAGTGACTGAGTTTCCAAAGATAGAATTGTGATTTATTCACAGTTATATATGTATTTCTTCAATGGTTCACCTCTTTGAGAGTTGGTAAGCCGGGTATCCTTGGAGCTGAGTTAGTGACATCCTTGGTAATAAAATGTTGGAATCGAGTCACTCAGCTGTGTGGCGGTCTCAGTTATCCAATTCCTGAGATCTGCAGTACTCCAGGGCACTGCTGATGACTGACCGACCAGCCTGACTTATTGGCAGACCTTCGAGGACAGACCAGGCACCTTGGAGTAGGGATTCTTCCTTCTTGACAGCATCTGTAAACCCTGCAAATCAAAGCCCAAATGGGTGGGGTGGTTCTAGCTGAACAAGCAGTGAGAAGCTTGTTGACCGTGCTTGCAATGGAAATATATGCATTTTTAGCTGATTGAAACCGAACAGTCCTCCAATACACATTCTGTTTCCCCAAGCCTTCACATTCCATTCCAGACGCAGGGAAATTTCCATATGTAGCTGACATACATATTGGAACTCTGTCTGGTTTGAATACTCTTAAGCACAGCGAAGGGTTTCCGCACACCCTTCTGTCTAAAACAACACCTGAACATTATTACAAGTGGGATAATCCTAGGATAATAATAATCCTTGCATTTGATGTAGCGCTTTTCACGTCTTCTAGACATCTCAAAGCGCTTCACAGAATATGCTGTAAAGTGAATTGACCGTATATTTGTGGGTGAAACACGGCAGCCAATTGCGTACAGCAGTATCCCACAAACAGTCGTGGATTGGAAATGCCCAATTTATTATTGTTTTTGTTTTTGGAGGGATTATTATTAGGCGTGTGGAGTAAGGAAACTTGCCCAAGGTTTCACCCTGCCTGGAATTGAACCCAGGTGTCTCGCTTGCAAGGCGAGTGCTCTAACCACTGAGCTACAGGATAACTGAGGGAAGGAGGTAAATTAGAAAAACATGTCTTTGTGATCTCCTTGTTGGTGATGATTTTACTACAATCATAACTTCTCAGAATAAAGAAACATTGACAGTGACTTGTCTGCCTGTCCACTTAATTGAAGTAGAATGAATGTGAAGGCAATGTATCCTGGTGAAGAGATAAAGTGAAGAAAGTTAAAATAATAAAAGTAGTAATAATAATCCTTACATTTGCTATAGCGCCTTATCAATATCTGCAACATCACAAAGTGTTTCACAGGATTATTATTGTGAAGTGACTGTTCAAATTATAATTTGTAGGTGAACTCATGATGTTTTTTATATATTTTTGCAGAATACGAAGGGACTTTAATAACAACAGATGGTACAGGTTTGAAAGGAAACATAACCAGTCCTTATTATCCAAGTTTTTATCCTCCAAAATGCAATTGCAAATGGACGTTCAAGGTAATGTTGCCTTTGTATTTAAAAAAATTGTTCCATTTCTATGTGGCTAAATGTTAATTCATCATGAACATGTGTGCATATTCTAAATTTAATTTACATTTATAACAATGATATATCCCAATAACTGAGCTATTGAACATCCTTTACTATGCAATTTGGCACAGTAGATGTACACTAGAAAGTATTTTATTTGAGTGAGACTGCCCTGCTAGATTATGTATTTCTTCAATGTGTTACCATTACGTAAAACCAAAGGTGCTGTTGCGTTTACTTCAGACCTCTACAGACTCTCTTGGGATTGCATTGACATTTCATAACTACATCCTGAAAGAGAAGGGTCTTGAAAGATGTGATCACGGTTGGTGGAAAATAAATGAGAAGATGTGAGTGTTGATATTTTGTATTCTTATTTCTATTCCTTCTATAGATTGTGAGGTACAATTTACAGTGCTTGATTTTTGTTTAGATAGTTCCATCGTCCTTTATTATTACATGGCTATATCTCATGAAGATTTAGAACCATCACAAAAGTTAATTCCTGACAAATCTTCATAAATCTGACATAATAATAATAATGATAATAATTGTTGCATTTGATATATGCCTTATTCCATCGTTGAGACATCTCAAAGCACTTCACAGAATATACTGTATAGTGAATTGAGTATATATTTTGTGTGCGAAACATGGCAGCCAGTTGCGCACAGCATATGGTTTCTAGTCTTTATGCCATATTACAAAATGTTATTTAGGGTCTAATGTGGGAATCTGCCACCTCCAACAAGGCAGTGCACCTCCCAATACATCCTAGATTATGTGAGTTCACAATCTTAATGTGGAATTTGAACCCAGAATCTTCTGCATCCCAGTGAGAATGTTACCAACTGAGACAGGCTGACACAGGACCAAAATTTAAACCTTCAATTTAATGTTAAATTTAAATTCGATTCTCTGTCCCCCCACCCCCCACCCCTCCACCCCCAAATCTGTATTATTTGGAAGGCAAAAGTTTTCTAATCCATGGTTCTCCCAGTTTAAGATGCAGCTTCAACATTCATTGGAATATTGAATGATATTGCTGAATTGGGCATTTTGTAACCTGGACTTGTGCTTTTCAAACAGGTACTGCGGTTATCAAATAGATCATCAGACAGTATTCCGGGTAGCAAATGTCTTAGTGAATATCATGTTCCAGTGCAGTGGAAAGCAATCGGACAAGGCACTTCTGGCAGAGTACAGCAGTTACAACATCAGTCAGCGTAAGCTCGTTCATATCTTCTCTTTCAAACCATAAGCATCTCTGCTCATGGTTATCGATAAGCTGACAGTTCACTTAATTAGTGCAGTGGATTTTACATCTAACTCAGCAAAGCTAGTGGTCTGGGGCATTGTGTGGATTCAATAGAAGTTGAAGCAGATTACCTGCCTCAACCACATGAGTGTGGATTACATTGTGGAACATTGATAGCAAACCTCTTTGACTTGGAGCGTGCTGTGGATTGGTGAATGGCTCCTAAAGGAAACAAAAAAGGAAATTGACAGTTAAAATGAAATGTAAGCAATAATTGGTGGCTTATTTGTATTTTGGAGCCCGTTTCAACGTTCTTCTTCAGAGAGATATTCAGGAATTGTCTTTTCATTACTTGCCTCATTGAATAGGAGCAGAAAAGATGATCTTTTAAAAAAAAAACTGCATTTTTTTTCTGTTAATGAATATTTGCACCGATAAAGAAATGGTTATGACAGAAATGTGCCCGTCACCGCAAGTGATGCATAGGAATCTTAGAAGCATGGTTCATAAAACAAAGGGGGTAAGATAGTTGTATTATTCCCTCAACCCCCCTTTCCCATGAGCTCCTGCTGCCCAAAACATCACAGAAAGTTGCAGGCAGGTTCTGAAGTGAACAATCTTACTCAGTTGGATAAACACAGAATCTAACTATGATGGTAAGTGACCTTATATGTATGGTGGAGTTGTTCTTTTAATGACTTGTTTCTTCTGTTTATTTCCGCCAGGACAATGTTAACATTGTTCAGATTAATGAGTTCAATTCTCATTTTTTTTTCTAAAGCTTGTCCTAATGGATATTATGTCTGCTCCACTGGTCTGTGCATCCGACAGTCTCAGCGTTGTGATGGATCAGATGACTGCTTTGATGAAAGTGATGAAGTATTTTGTTGTAGGTACCTCCAAAGCATTCTTTCCTTAAAGGTGCACTGTAATCTCGCGGGGACGGAGGAGAGGCGTTTGGCAAACGATTTTTCTCGTTTGAGGAGAGCAAAGAAGAAGGGGAGCAGAGTAGTGCTTTTATCAGGATGCTATGATGTAGCAAGTAATATACATTTGGATGTCAATCACTCAATCCATTGTGTTTGTATTTTTTTTAAAAAAAGTTGCCAAGCAGAGCCAAAGTACAGGAGTTGCTCTATGTAACTAGATCTCAAACTATTGCCCGATCCCATCATTTGACAAAAACGCAGCATTAAATTTGTTGTTTTCTGTTTTTTTTGTGTGAAAACGACTGAACCTTTTTTGTGTTTACGTGCATTTGCACGTGTACGTACACATATGGGTAGATCTTCATCTAGGTTTCAATCTTGTAATTTTTCTTGCTGCAAGTTGTTAAAGAAAAGCTTCAGTAAAAAATCACATTTTTGTTAAGAAGAGTATTACAAAATAGGCCACTGAGGTCGTAATAAATAGCCCATCACTGCTTTACAATGCACTATTTATTTATTGGCAGTGTAGACTAAAATGATTTAATAATTTATGGTGAATGATTGTTCTTGTGCAGGAAGGAGGAGGTGAGGGGCTTAATATTATTGGGGGGGCAGCAGATCAGCAGTAAATTACGGTAATTTGGCGAATGTTCATCTTGATTCCCTTGGGAATAATAATGTAAACTACAGATATTTTATATTTCTATCAGGAAAATGAGGGGTAGGGTGGAGTCAGTGATTTGGTAGTTAATGCTTGTTCCATGGAAGGAGCAGGTTTGATGGATTTAATACTCTTTCTTCAATCCAAGCCTTCTTATGTTGCCTTGTGTTCACTTTAGCACCAAAGGAGTGCAATGCAAGTTCTCCACAGCAGCATTTTGACCTCATCTGCAATGGAGTTATGGACTGTGAGAATGGTACAGATGAACTCAACTGCACTGACCGTGAGTCTTTAAGAAATCTGAGTGAGATGCATAGATATGTTTATAATTCCTAATCTCCAAAATATCAATCGTCAACTTTAATTTTCAGCTGTGCCTTGCACAAACATCACCTATAAATGTAAGAATAATATATGCATTCAGAAGAAGAATGCCAAATGTGATCGGACTATAGACTGCCTGGATGGAAGCGATGAAATAAGTTGTGGTGAGTTTAACGGTTGTTACTGATGAGGATTTCCATAATTGAGAATCAGTTTGTCACCCATAGAATTTTGGATAAACTATAATAATAATAGTCCTTGCATTTGATATAGCCCCTTATGACATTGTTGAAATGGCTTAAAGCGAAGCATTTAACAATCTAAAGTGTAGTGACTGTGTATTTGTTTGCGAGCATTGGCAAAAATTCACTAGCATTGTACACAGCAGAGTCTGCTTAAAACCCATGTGTAGATATTGGAAAGAAATAACATAACTTTTATAACACTTTATGTTTAAATATGTCAGGTATAGTTTTTTTATTATTTGCTTAAACAGAAGCAGATTTTTAAACTATTTAAGAGGTTGCATTGAATTTGTCATTTATGTATTTTAGACAGTAATACCTCTTTTATAGTACAGGACATGATATTGCATTGCTTGTTGTAGTAGAGCAATATGAACAATAGAGACTGACACATCATGTAAATTTGAATTGATTCAATGATTCTCATGTGATTGCAGCCCCAGGCACTGACCTGGTAACCCCAGCAAGATGGAAAACAAGCATGTGACATTGCACCTCTTTTCCAGATTGCTTGTGCTGCTATAATGTCAGACAATGGATTGCGGGGTTGGGAAAAGGAAAGAACGGAGAGATATGGGATCTATGTCATTCAGTTATGCTACATTTGTGCATATTAATTCATGTCTGAAAACATCTTATGGGAGATTTTTGTGGGCAGACTTGAAAACTGACTATTTCCCATGTTATACAGAGTTACATATAGTGATACAGCATCGAAACAGGCCATTTGGCTCAACTAGTCCATGTTGGTATTTATACTCTACACAAGCCAGCACCCTTTCTATTCCCCTTTTCTTTATCCTTCTATAACCTTTCTCATGTATGCATCAAGTCTTCTCTTAAATTTATTGATGATTCTTACACTGATCATAAGTCAGAATCCACTTATATGTTAATTATAGAATATTAGAACACAGAAGGAGGCTATTCAGCCCATTGTGCCTGTGCCGGCTCTTTGGAAGAGCTACCCAATCAGTCCCACTCCCCTGCTCTTTCCCCAAATCCTTGCAATTTTTTCTTCTTCAAGTACCTATCCAATTCCCTTTTAAAAGTTGTTATTGAATTAGTTTCCACCATCTTTTCAGGCAGTGTATTCCAGACCATATTCACCGTGTTTATTAAAAAAAATTCAAAATTCCCCTCATCTCCCCTCTAGTTCATTTGCCAGATATATCCTTAAAGCTGTGTCCCCTGTTTACCGACCCATCTGTCAGTGGAAACTGTTTCACCCTATCTACTCTAAAAAGCCCTCATAAATTTGAACACCTCTATTAAATCTCCCCTTAACCTTCTCTACTCTAAGGAGAACAATCCCAGCTTCTTTAGTCTCTTCACATAACTGAAGTCTCTCAACCCTGGTACCATTCTGGTTAATCTCCTCTGCATCCTCTCCAAGACCTCGATATCCTTCCTAACGTGTGTGTTCCCAGAATTGGACGCAATACTCCAGCTGAGGCCTAACCAGTATTGTTCCTTTAAACATCGATTTCATGCAAAAATCATGTTGAACTGATTGCAAAAGTATGCTATGAAAAAGACTTTACCACCCCAGTTATGAAAGCTACATATTACTGATGCACACCATTGCTTCAGGTGGCAAGTTATGATGCTCACGTAAGTATAAGTTGGAGAGAGTTTGAAAGTGCAAAGGTTTTGGTGTTTGCTTCTATAATTTGTCTTGTTTGTACTTGTCATGCAGGCTGTGGCAATAAGGAGCAGGAGCAGAGTCGAATAGTTGGGGGATCAAATGCTCAGGACGGCAAGTGGCCTTGGCAAGTCAGCCTACACTTTGGTGGATCAGTGTATTGCGGTGCTTCAGTAATAGCAAAAGAATGGCTTTTATCAGCAGCACACTGCTTCCAAGGGGAAAAGTATGATGCTACTAACCATCTTTGCTTTAGAGTTTTGGACCTTATTTTGACAATGATTATAGAAGGGAAAGATAAATGACCCAGGCTGGTAAATACCCACTTTCACTCACAGGGAGTTATTTACCACTTGTTGATAAATCTACCTTCATCTGTGAATATTTATAGTAGGAAATCCTATTAGAAGTTATGTGTCACTTTATTTTTTATGGTGAGCAGGGTTTTTCCCACTCAACTGAATTGCTTTCCACAAACAGGAGCTCAGGTTGCCCCCCAGGCAATCTGTGAACCAATCACTCCTGTTTTTGCACGGCTTCACTAGCTCCCCATTCCTCAAAGAATCAAGGACAAAACACTTTATTCCCACCTTCAAAGCCCTTCATGGACTTGCTCCCCCCAGACTTTTCCGACCTCCTAAATCCATATCAGCCTGCCTGCTCCTTCCACTCGACAGACACCAGCCTGCTTCAGGTCCCCCGCACTTCCCACCTCACTATTAGCAGTCAGGCATTCAGCATCTCTGCCCCCATACTCTGGAACTCTATCCCGCAATCCCTCCACCTCACCCCCTCCCCTGCCTCTTTCAAGTCCCGTTTGAAGACCTTCATCTTTGATCGTGCCCAGCCACCCATCCACTACAATCCCTTACTATCCTCCTCCCCTTCTGACCCCAACTCCCAGCTCGAGTCCAAAACCTCTGATTGTCCAGCGCCCTGGGACATCTTTCCGACGTGAAGGGCACTATACAAGTGTAATTTGTTGTTGTTGTCTAAAGACCTTCCTCTTCAACCGTACCTTTAGCCACCCTCCCACCCCCACACCCGCTGCCCTCCACTCCTCCTGACCCCAGCTTCCAGCTCGGGTCCAAAATCCCCTCACTGTACATCTTACCGATGTCCCCTCCTGGGACATCTTACCGATGTGAAGGGTGCTAAACAAGTGATTTGTTGTTGTTATTATTTATCCCCAAATTGTCAAAAAATGACACACATCAATTGCTTGCATCACGACCATACGAGCAAGTCAACTGGCCAGATTTGCTCTCCCATCTGGGCAAGCCCAGTGACCAAAGGCCTCCTTGTGAGGGTGGATCAAACTCAGAATTAGCAGTCCTGTAACACCAAGTCCATTTGACCACTAGTATCATCTGACTTTGTAATTAATATTCTTTTCTCAATTTAAAAATACAACAAATACAAAATCGACTGGATTCAGGGTTGTGACTCTCCCCACAGACCCCTTTCACTATAGGCAATGAATCATCTAAGGCTTTCAGCTAAAAATAGGCTGGATTTTAAACCAATGTTCCTTGTAGAAAGATAATCCAACTTTTCCATTCATTCTGTGACCTACTAATTGGAAAGCCACCCTACGTCATCTATATTGACCTGGTACACTTCATTAGCTTGAACCTTAATCTAAACTTAAAATTTCAAGAATATTTTAATGATTTCAGCATAAAATAATTGGGAACGGGTATTTCAGCTCTTTATTGTGAATAAGAATAGAAGTGTTGTGTATACGTTTCTGTGCTTTACAGTCATGATGAAAATTTAATCCACAAAAGATTTTCTACCTCTTTCTTTCACAAGGATGTCTGATCCGAGACCATGGGTAGCTCATCTAGGAATGCGTATTCAAGGGATTCCAAAGTTTACAAGTGAGCTGAAACGAATCATTGTCCATGAATATTATAACACTCGGAATTTTGACTATGATATTTCACTGCTACAGATGAAGAATGCATGGCCAGACTCGCTGGCAGCAGTAATCCAACCAATCTGTGTCCCTTCACTCACCCATGCAGTGCCGAATGGGGAGAAATGTTGGGTGACTGGATGGGGTCGAAGACAAGAAAAAGGTAAGAATATCACAAAAGTTTATTTCAACCAAACCAATTAATTCAACCTAAATAATGCTTGGGTGTTTGTCAGAGGTGCCGTCTTTCATATGAGACATTTAGCCGAGACCCCATCTCCCTGTCCAGGTGTATAATAACGATCCCATTGGCAATATTCGAAGAATGAAGAGAGTTCCTCTCACGGTGTCTCAGCCAACAGTTCCCCAAATGAAATTGGTCATTCACTTCATAGCTGTTTGCAGAACATCTCTATGCACAAATTGACTGCCATGTTTGCCAACAAAACACACAGTCACTCCACTTTACAGTAAATCCTGTGAAGCTCTTTGGAACGTCCTCCCAACACGAAAAACATATTTTTATTATTATTAATACATTTGTGAAAAAGTAAATTGTAAATGATTACATGGCTTTAATATTTTCCCCATTTGACTAAGTATTAGTATTTAGTCCACAGCAAAATAATAGGTAGAGCATGCTAATATTGATGAACAGTTACTTCCTGCTGACAGTTCATAGTCAAGCAAAGTACATTTTTAGACAGATTAAGTAGTGCCTTGTAATTTTATCTTTTCCTGTACCAAAGACACCAGTGATCCTACAGTTCTGCAAGAAGCCGAGGTTGAGATCATAAACCAAACATTCTGTCGCTCCACCTATGGACTCATCACTCCACGTATGCTGTGTGCTGGGTTGCTATCAGGGAAAAGAGATGCTTGTCGAGTAAGTGTAAAAATATGGTACAAAAGGTCAATAAGATGCCACTTTGATATTTAAATGTAAGTATTATACAGTCTGAACTGATTAGGTTCAAATATAGTCATTTATTTTGTAATTACTAACGTTTTGCCAATGGGTTGATGTAAAGGATAGGGGGAAAAATGGAAGAATTGGAGTAAGCGCATAGCTCTTACAGAGAGCTAGCTCAGCCACAATAAGCCGAAAGGCCTCCTTCTATGTTATCAATTTCTTCGGTTCCAATATATATATGTTGCATATTATCATCTGCTTTGAGGCAGCCTCCTGCCATGAAAGGCGTTGCATCAAATAGGAGCTTGCTATTTTTCCCTTAATTAATAAAAAAGATCTAATGAAAGCGAATGAGTGAAATGTTAATTTTCCAACGTACTTAACTAAAATGGGTTGCATTTTTAATTTATCTCATTCGTTGGTTTCAGAATTGTGATTAACATTGCAGGGCGATTCGGGAGGTCCATTATCCTGCCGTGAAAAGGTTGGTGGAAGATGGTTTTTGATTGGCGTTGTTAGCTGGGGTTACGGATGTGGAAGACCAAATTTCCCTGGAGTCTACACAAGAGTGTCAAAGTTTGCCACATGGATCCAGGAGCACGTATCTATATTGCCAATTACTGACAGCTTTACGTAGCTGCAAGTTTTGATTGTATGTTAGAAATTCATGTTGTAAATGTTTTACATTACAAAGCATTAATATATTTATCTGTGTGACAATAAATGAGTTATAAAGATAAATGTTTTTTTTGACTGCTCTATTTATTCAAAATGACCATGGCCCAAACTACAACTGACAGGTAAACGTATTAATATGAAGGTCTACATCTGATTATATTTGGATATTTATGAAGGATATGTACAATATATAATTATATATAAATTACAGTATATATGAAATAGACAAAGCAGAATACATTTGAAAGCATTTTATCACAGTAGAGACTAATGGAGATGGTTTATAAGAAATCTCAGTGACTTTTCTGTTATATTAGAGGTTATTCAGCAATATATCATACAAGGCTTTTTTGTGCCTTTTTTTCTCTCTCAACTGGAGATGAGTGACTGACTAGAGTGTGGTTCCATGGGTACAATTCATTAGTCATGTGTGAGCATCAACAGATTGTATCTTTGGGAGTATCTGATATCTGCAGACAGGCCTTGTGCAGCAAAGCTCAATGAATATCCAGGGTACACAATGCCAGCACTTATAACTGACGGAAGCTGTGCTTGAATCAGAAAGCGTCAACATATTTAAAAGGAAACTCGATGCATACATGAAAGAGAAGGGAATAGAAGGATATATAGGAGGCTCAAGTAGCGTATAAACAGTGTCATCGACTAGTCGGGCCAAATGGCCTGTATATAATTTTATAATACTCTATAAAGTGTAAACAAATGTGAAGAATGAACAGAGTCTTAATGGTAAACAGGAATCCAATCCTTACTTGTGTTCCCTATCAGGCATTTATCTAAGTTACTAAAGAGCTAGTTTACATTGGCACCTCCATGATTTGTTCTTAGAGAGAAAAAAAGTTTTTTTAAAAAAAAATCTCATTGTAATCCAAATAAATTTGTTCAACCAATTCTTCTCTTCTGATTTTTTTTTAAAAAAAGTTCAATTTAAGAAAAAACTCTTTTAAGTCTCTGAAGCACAAAGTTTGCTTTATTATGGTTTATAAGAGTAAAGCCCTGGGTTACACAGTGGAAAATGCAACACCACACACCACATTGCTCTCTTGAAACATCGACTCCAGGGATCATCACTGATGCTGACTGACTGGACAGCAATATATCACACAAGGCTTTCTTCTTTTTTTTTTGCTGGCATTTTGTGAGGTGCCTTTTGAGGCTGGCATCAGGCAGTCAATGTGCCTTGTGGGGCTGTCTCGATCACCAGCTTCCCCCACAGCACACGTATCTTCTTGGGATGCTTGCAGTTGCTGTGTGTGTTCTGCTGGTGTCGCAGTGCAGATTCACCTGTGCATCTGTGTCTCTTTTTTGGGAGGGGTGGGGGAGCTGAGAGGGGAAGCAAGGGAAGGTCTTTTATTTGTGTCTTGGGCTTTTAAAGGGCATGAGCAACAGCTGGCGACAGAAAGCACCCAGTCAGAGCTAGTCACAGACAAAGTGGGGTCTTGGATTGTCGAGGTGGGTCAGTCTGCAAGCTTTGAAGAGAGAGAGGGAGAGAGAGAGAGAGAGAGGTGTGTGGGAGGTGAATTGATTCCTGATCAGGTTCTGGGTTTAACCGAAGTGGGACGATGTTCACTTTTCCAAAGCAAAGGACCTGTGAGATCTTCAGTATATCAGGAGCAGCAGCTGAGGACCAAGGAAGGTCAGTGCCTGCCACTGGACAGGTAAGCCATCTCCCACAAACACTGGCTCTGCAGAAATCTCTTGACTTTTCAGGAGAGACTTTTTCTCTCTTTTTTGTTTCAAAAAAAGGTAAAGGATATAATTGTCCTACTTTTGTATGGCGTAGAGTATGGATTTTGAATAGCCCCCTAACTTCAGGTACCCAGTTTATTCTCTATTTCAATTCACTTCAGTTTGTTTTCCATTTAAAAGCATTTTCTAATGAAATGAAATTCTGTTCAGTTTTTATTTCTCCAGTTCTGGGAAAGAAAATTGTAGTCCTCCCTCAGATAATTTCTCTCTCTCTCTCTGTCTGTCTCTCAGTGTGTGACTCTCATTCAAATGATATTCACATGGGAATCAACCACCCACTTGTTAACTACTTGCCTTTTTAACACTGATCGAAGAATAACGGTGGACTTCAGTTTCCATTTTTTTTAAAAAAAAAGTCTTTTGAAGTTTAATTGTGCTGCTCAGAGTCGGGTGACACATTCCTGTGGGTGTTTTTTTTTAAGTGTATTTATGTACTTAGTGAATAAAGTTACTCATGAGAGCATTGCTGTAGGAGAAAAGACTGGGGACCAGCAGTCATTAAAATAGTGTAAGCAACATGTCACTTATAACAAAGTGGAAAATACACTGTACATTCCATAACAATGATAGAAACCTGCAAGTGGTAAAGTGTAAACTACTTGCATTTTTTTAAAAAAAAGCTATTTAATTTAAGAGAAAATTATTGGCAGGCTGTAAAATCTATTTTAATTCAAAGAGCTGTCTTTTCTGGGGGAATCTAATCAAACTCATTTCGGATATCCTGGTAGCGGAATAGTGATTTGACTCATTAAGCGCTCAAAGAAGAGTCACAAAACCGTTCAGACAAAATCTGAGGACCTGCGTTGCATGTCGGTGTGACATACTTATCGCAGAAACAACCGTTTAGGTGATTTGATTCTTGTTTTTTTTTCTTCTTCTTCAGAAATATCCTATTACGGTGTCCGACAAAGAGACCTTGCCTTCTGATCAGTGTCTCAATCTCTCATCAGTCCATTCAGTGGATCCATTAGCATTCAAAGCCAAGCTCTGCCCCCTGGAGCTCTCCTCCCACAGGCTGGCAACAAGTGAACCCTGCAGAAGATGGATCCTTGGATCTCTGCCTGTAATCCCTCTAACTGCAGCAACAATCATTGTGCTCCTTTGTTACTGTTTGTGTAAGTTTGAATTCTGCATTTTGACAGCATAATTTAGCAATCAATGGCTACTGGCTGGGTTGGTTGACAGAGCAGTAAGTGTTCAGCTTGAGTGCCCTTTGCAGGTGAACAGAAGTTCCATGTAGATGCTATCTGCAGAATGTGGATGTAACATGTGATTGTTCTCCTTTGCAGCGCCTGCCATCTCCATTTTCTACCTGGGTGGAAGTCTAGAAATCTCTAACCTGACCTACACCAATGAATTAGGAGACCCACGCTCACAGCAGTTTATTTCACAAGCACAGGCAGTCCAAAATTATGTGAGTGTCAAGTTCTTTTCTTCATAAGGATTTCCTTTCTACGTAAGCATTTCCTTTCTTAAGCGTTTCACAACATCATCAATCAGTACCAGGTATATACGTAGTTGTGTGTAATCTGACTAATATTCTCATTGTCTTGTTCAAACACAAAACACATACAGTCACCGGATTTTACAATATATCTGATCTAGTGCTTTGGAACATTTTGGGATTGCTTCACTGGGGTAATAATCCCTCAACAAAAATGTTGTCTCACTCAATCCACGACTGTTTGTGGGACACTGCTGTGCGCAATTGGCTGCCGCATTTCGCCCACAAGTACAGTCTCATGAGAGCCCTATGCACATTCTGTGAAGTGCTTTGAGACGTCTCAATGACGTGATAAGGGGCTATGTCAAATGCAAGGATTATTATTATCCTCCTGACATGAAAGATGCTATACCAAGTTTAAGGATTATAAGTATCATTATTATTATCATTGCACTGCCTTTTTAATAGGCTAATTGACTGCTGCCACTGAACACTTTTTTTTAAAATAGTGATTTGGAACCTAAATTTACATTTAACTTAAAGTGGCTAAACTCGCTTTTTGAAGTAGTTTGGCTTTTAAATAAAGTTGGTTTTGGTACACCCCTACCCCGCTTTCCTTTCAACAATTCCACAAGCCACAATCAGCGAGATCAGACTGACATGTGAGGAGAAACATAGAATTATAGACATTTAGAGCACAGAAAAAGATCATTCGACCCATCAAGTCTGTGCTGGCTTTTTTAAGTTATACTTTCAGCCCAATTTACCTGCTCTCATGGTGTGTTTGTGGTGTTTTGCAGTGTGTTGGAACACGGACTACTTATGGTCTGCATTGTTGAATGTTTACTGTTTCGTCAGTTCTGAATGTCTGAGAAGATTTCTGGGAACTAATCCCAGTCTTAGGCAGGGGCCATAGTTGGCTGGACAGCCATAATGCAAAAGCACTCTGATTTCATTATATTTGAATATCCTTAAATTATAAATTAATACTCCTTTAGTTAAGCAAATCTACTTTAGATTTCACATTGGAAGTGTGTGGGAGTTTGGGTTAGGGTGTGGGGTGGAGGAAGGTGGAATGATCATGCCACTATAGTTCAGTTGGCAATGGAAAAACATATTCAGTTAAGTTTCCTTTTTGTTGCAAAAATAGCTTGTATTATTAATAACATTGAAACATTTTTATTTTTTATTTTATTTTTTGTTCAGTTTTGTTTCAGTTTTTCTTTTACTGCAAAATACTCATTAATAATAAAACATTTTTATTATTAAACTTTTTATTATTGTTAATAAATATAATCCATGTTTACAGTAGAATTGCTACATTAGTAACTCAGCCACTTACAAATGTGACCTTAGCAGAATGGCTCTGTTAAGATTCGAGCATAAAGCCAAGTGGAAACATTGCATGAGTTGTTGGCTCTCAATTTCACCCTCATTGACAAATTAAACCTCATGCTAAGTGGACTCAAAAGAGGTTTAGAATTGATTTGAAATGTTTCATTATGACAAAGAAACTGAACTAAAGGGTACATAATAAAATCCAATCTATTTTGATTTGCTAAATGTGTAATTATAGAGGGAATTGTTTGATAAGCAGTAGAAGCACAAATAAATGTGGGTTGCAGTGTCTAGTGGAGTGTAGACGCTTATCGTCTACATTGTTGAATTTTTACCTTTTCCTCAGTTCTGAGTGCCTGAGAAGACATCAGGAACTAATCCAATATTAGACAGGGGTCATAGTTGGCAGGACAATCATTAATCCAGAGTGCTCTGATTTTATTATATATGAAGACCCTTAAATTATAAATTAATATGAACATGAGTGAGAAGGGCATTGAAGGATATGTGTGGGAGTAAGGAATGAGTAGAGTCTCATGGAGTATAAACATCAGCATGAACTAGTTGGACCGAATGGTCTGTTTCTGTGCTATACATTCTATGTAAATCTATGTAAATATTCAACCACCATTGCTAGTTACCACACAACAACAAATGACACTTGTATAGCACCTTTCACATCGGAAAGACGTCCCAGACACAAAGCTTAAAATCTGATGATGTTTGCTGGGTCAGAAAGCTTTCAAGACTCAAGTGTCTATTCACAAAAAAATACGCATAGATGGATTGCTGTTATTATCATTCTGTTAAATTCAGTATTGGTGGAAAGGACAATTCTCAACAGAGCAGCATCTGACCAGTTTAAGTAATTTCTTGAATGCCCTATTTTGGACCACTTCAGACAATTGAGCGTGGTGGGTTATGTTTGCTCATCCATGGGTATATAAAAAACATATGATAGCATTTATGCAGAAAGAGATGGGATGTGTAATTTATGTGTACAAGGAACACATTATTTGCATTATTTGTTGATGGTTGTTGATTGCTGATTAAGGGCATCAGTAATTCCTTCTGTACGCATGTGTTTGGTGGTTTACAAATCATGGAGATTAGATCCCATGATGGGTCTCTCTGCGTACACATAATAATTTTCTTCCTCCAGCTGTAGTTTATCTTGGCATGATTACAATTGGTGGACAAGCCGCTGATATCTAACCAGAGCCAGTGAGACAGCTCTTGTGCCGCTAGTGCAACATTTGTTGAAGTCAGCGAGCTGAGTCGGCAGGGGAATGGTGTAAGGGATACTAATAGCATCTATAAGAGATCTAGGCAAATGTTAGTGGATGACTCAAGAAAAGCAAATTGATTTTAATGTGGATAAATAATAATTCATGTACTTTAGGATAGGAAGATATGAAGCAGGTGCTCGCCATGTACGAGTTTTGTTTACATGAAGCTGTTAGCCTTGGGCTAAATCAAGTCCTGGAGTAAATCAGAAATCCTTATCATTATAAATCAAAATGGGTTTATTTTAACCATGTTTTACTTATTGAATGAACCACATTTACAGCAAATGTGGATGTCTTGCATCTGAGAAGACATGAAAGTACATGGAGGAGTGGCAGTGATATTTGTGGATCTTAGTTATCTAAGTTATGAAGAGAGACTGAAACAAATTGAACTTTTTTCGATGCAGACAAAAGTATTGAGATGGGATACAACTCAGTTCAGGTTGCGGTGCTGCAAGGATGATGGCCAATGCCCTAATAATGATAATCCTTGCATTTGATATAGCGCCTTATCAGGTCTTTGAGATATCTCAAAGTGCTTCACAGAATCTACTGTAAAGTGAATTGACTAAGGTGTGACTATGGATTGTAGTTGCAAGGTTGCAGTAATGTTGAGGACTTGAGTTCATTTCTTTCAGAGATTGGATATAAATTTGACAAGTGTTTTATATTCTTTAGGAAATTGGATAGAATTGTTATGGGAACCTGCTTATTAGGCTGAATTAGCTTTTCTCATTCTGCAACATTTATGTCCTCCATCTGTTAGTTTGCAGACATGTACCAGCCATCTATATTGGGGAAATATTACCTGAAATCTATCATCACTGCTTTTAGGTAAGTATAAAATATTGGATTCTTTTGTAGTGAAATGTATTGTGTTGCACTATTCTAGTTTCTAATAAACTTCACAATAGTTATTTGCAAAAGGATTGCCAGAGCAACTTTAAAGGCATTGCCTGTTGTAGTAGAAATTAATACAGACTAGCTTTTCACAAGTTGTGCCTTAAATGTTCAGCATAGAACCAAAGAAATTTATAGCACAGAAGAAGGCCATTTGGCCCATCATTTCAGTCCTAGTACATCTGCACTACATTCAGTTTTTATACACTGTAATGTTCAGATCAAGTATTTTAATTAGAAAATAGCATACCTTGTTGACCTGGAAGAATCTTCAATTCTTTTGGTCTCCTTATTTAAGAAAGGACATACTTGCCTTAGAGGGGGTGGGTGCAGCGTAGATTCATGAGGTTAGTTCCTGGGTTGAGGGGGTTGACCTATGAGGATAGGTTGAGTAAAATAGGCCTATATTCTCTAGAATATAGAATAATTAGTGGTGATCTTACAGAAACATATAAAATTCTTATGAGGCTTGACAGAGTAGACAGTGTGAGATGGTTTCCCCTGGTAGGAGAATCTAATACTAGGGGTCACAGTCTTAAGATTAAGGTACAGCCCTTTCGAACAAAGTTGAGGAAACACTTCTTCACTCAGGGGGTAGTGAATTTATGGAATTTGCTACCCCAGAAGGCTGTAGATGCTCAGTCCTTGAAAATATTCAAGACTGAGATTGATAGGTTTCTAAAGGATAGAGGGATTAAGGGATATGGGGATAAGGCGGGCAGATGGAGTTAGGTTAGAAGATCAGCCATGATCTTATTGAATGGCGGGGCAGGCTAGAGGGGCCAAATGGTCTGCTCCTAATTCCTATGTTCCTGTGTCCACTTGTTGACATCTTGTATTTCTAACAGGATTTTGCGAGTTTAATACTATTTTATGAATGTATGTTGAGTATTGTTGGTGTTTAGCCCATCTCCAGCTGTATGAAATTGCTGATCTCTTTTGCTTCTCTAATGATTGCAGTGAAGGAGAAGAAGGACTTCGGGCCTATTACTGGAGCAAGTTCTCAGCCCCAAAGGATATAGTGCACAACATCAAGAATGCCACTGCGTCCAATATACGGCAAATCAATGGCAAAAAGGTGAAAGTACCTGCGTTGAACTCCTCGGAAGAGATATGGTCCATGGAAGAAGATTTTGATATTTACACAGTCGAACTGTTTGGTAGTATTTCCATTTACATAAAATCCAGATTTGTACAGTAGGCTAAGTTGCACTTTACTATGTTTCTATATTTTTTATTGTGAAACTAATTATCTTTTCAACTTTATGCAGCTTCAGGATCTGAGGAGTACGATTTGGCAGTAAAATCAGGTAAAGCACTTTTAAATTTATAAGGGACTCCCGGCCAAATCAAATCTAGGCCAAGCTGAGCAGAAGAGAACCCAGTCATTTCTTTCGATGTTTGTTGGGCTTGAAATTCCACTGTGTCTCTCTCATCCTCTGAGACCATTTTATTCCATTTTATGTTGCAGAATTGTGAATGTGCTTGCTCTTGTGACTGCTCCAATCTCTGTATTCCATTATTAGATTTCTGTTCTCATTCTGCAGCGATTTCCTTTGATCTGTATGCAAAACCAGGCAACAATCGGACCCTGACCCTGACTCGCCCAAAGAGGTCCTATTACCAGTGGAGACTGCGAGTGCCATCAGGCCACATTGTGCGCTTGGTAATCTTGACCTTACATGGGGCGACTCCAGGAAACTGTGCAATCCATAAACTGTCAGCTTATGACTTTCTGCTTCCTGTTCAGAACAAAATAATAGCACGGTAAGGCAGTGAACCAATCCTAATATTGGGCAGAGTTGACTTATGGCTGTGTCTCAGGTTCATTCCAATGTTAAACCCTGGTCTTGCCTCTCTATACTCTACATCAGGGGTCTTCAACTGGTCGATCACCGCTAGGTGGTGCTGTCGCACAGTATCAAAAAGACAAGAGGAAGGAGCGATGGAACTGTGTCGTTATTGAGTCAAAATGAAAACGAAGCCAGATGCACCAAATATTTCATGCATCTGGAAATAAAATCTAACCTTTAACGTTAATCCTGCGGAAAATATCACTCCTAACTCTTGTTTTTATTGAGCACGCATGAGATGCCACCTAGCGACGATCAGAGGCCTCTGCTCTACATGAATGTAGTATGAACCAGATCATAACCTCTGACCTACTTACTGAGTTGATGGCAGTAATAGGGGCAGTACAGTTGTTCTGAGTATCCCTGGACTAAGAGAAATAAAATAACTTTTACTCTTGCTACTCTTGAACACTATCTTGTAACCCCTGTGGGAAAGAATACAATTGAGGACAGGTTGGGGCTTGGCTGTGATACCATCCATGGTTGAGTAGCCTGCCAATTCTCATTGGCCGTGCTTGTTTTAGCGAGAATGTTATCCAGCAGCCTTTAAGGCAAAATTCAATCATTGTCTGGAATAAGCCTTTGTCTCTTTTATATATGAACTACCTTGAGACTCTTGCCTTTAAAGAGGTCTAGAAATAAAAGGCTTTTTTTTTCCTCCTCCAATTTGTTTTGGGAATGAAAATGATTCCTCTAAAATGCGTCGTCAGATAGAACTAACGTGTAAATAAAGATCAAGCTATAGAATTAGGGGTTACATTAGCAATGTAGATGTTTGCCTACAAAATACACAGCTGCACACTTTACAGTAACGTCCTGTCAACGGCTTTGAGGTGCCCTCTGGGCATAAAAGGCGCCATATCAAATGCAGAGATTATTGCTTCCACAGTTTAAATCGCTCCTTAGAGGTATTTTCTAAGTGTTTTCAGTGATGGGGCAGCTAGATCAATAACACTGCCACGTTAAATATGAATGGATGTTACTTTTCTTAGTTTGAACTTCCAAAAGTAGCTACTTTCTGCAGCAAAACGATATTTTGTTCACCAGGTATTTTGTCAAGCCATTTCTGAAATAGTCTTGTTAATATTCCCAGATGCACCAATGAATGTAGGAACATACGTCCACATTCAATTTCTAGATTGATATATTTCCCGATCTTCTCTAGCTCTTTATGTCTTATGTTGTAATCACTTGAGATAGCCACATCAACAAAACTACATGTCCAATTTAGTTGTCTTTATAATAATATCTTATTAATAATACTATTTTAATGACATTTTATTATTGTATCATAAAATAATATTCTATGCCAATCCATGGCTCTTGCCAACCTGTGCCTAATACTTTCTGGAATTAGGCAAGCATGGTATGCTCCTCCAGGGGAGAGTGTACGCATTCCATTCCAGATGAGGAAATTTCCGTGTATAGATGCCACATGTGGGGCTAACTCCAAGTGTGGTTTCTTATGGGTGATGGGTTTTGAGATGTGACCACTAAAAAAAAGCTAGAAAAATTAAAGTTGTGACTTAACGTTTGTTCAGGTGGTGTGGAATGCCAGTGACGTGGAATCCTCCTCTTATCAGATTGACCTCAGCTGGCAACGTGATGCTGGTGACTTTTTCATCAGACAGACCAAGAGAAAATGCCGTGTTTAAAGCCTATTTCCAAGCCATTCCAAAAGGAGGTACATGGTTTCAGGAACAACTATTCTTCAGATTTTTAAAAAATATATATATATATGAAACTAATCTTGGATCTTTTTGAACTTGTTTTAAAAAAAATGCACTTAAATCACACCAATGGAGAACAGTAGAAAAATCTGTTGTTTATTTGTTTGACAGCAAAGCAGCATTGATGATGGCGGAACAGCATTGTAGCCCGGGAGGGTTTTTTTTTGAGAAAAATCCCTTCAAAAACTGTGGTGCTAACAGTGGGTTAGATAAGTTGTAGCATTACTAAAAAGGAATCCCACTAAAATTCCTGTTCCATGGGAACTCCAGTCTTAGATTCCTTTCTAAGGAATGCCATTAAGAAATATCGCAAAATTGTATCAGTTTCCAGTATTGGAAACCAGCAACTGATCCTGTTTTTTTTTCAATCCCACGTGCATAATTATGTTAACTAGAAAAAGTGCCCTACCAGACCCTAAAGACAAGATGGGCTGCTGATTTGAAACACAGTCCACCCTCTTAGCTGATTTCAGTCAGGGGCAGCAATTGATGCACGACAATTGGACTCCGTGCCCTTGGGTTAGTGAGGGGGAAATCAGCTACAAACACGCTCTGGTTGCTTTTCCAGAGACTGGAAGGATTCAACGTGTTGGATTTTGGGCGAGGACTGGCTCGGACTCAGCAGGTGACGCTTTCCTCCTCCCCTACCCACCCAGGTTGAACAGTGTGCTGACACTCACCGTCTAGGCTTGCAGTTGAATAATGGTTAATATTTGAGCAAAGTCCAATGTACAGAATTCTACATGTAAATGTCTATTTTGGGCTGAAATTTCATTTTGCCCTCTTCCACTCGCAGGCTGTGGTGGCAGTTTCAGCTCCTGGAATGGTTCCTTGAGTTCTCCCTTCTATCCCAGTTATTATCCTCCCAAGGTTGATTGTACCTGGACAATCAGAGTAAGTAGCAATGGAATTGTATTCATTTAAATCCTTTCTCCCTTCCCAGGTTGTCTAGAAGCTGAGAGGACGGAGCCTGGCTCTATTCCTTCTCTCTTTGTTGATGCTACGATCTCTCGGTGACGAGAGTTGCCTGTATCTTTGCACAAAGCATTATTCACAGGTCACCTGTTGGATACTCCCAGAAAATCATTCTGGGTATCAGGTTCTGTAGTACACATTTTCTTTTAACTTATAGCATTGTCATGTGAGGCCCAAAGTTCCCTGTCCCATTAGAATATTTTGCTTTAAGATAATAATAATCCTTGCATTTGATATGGTGCCTTATCACAATGTCGAGACGTCTCAAAGCACATATCACACAGAATTGTGAAAAATTTTACATTCAGTTTCAATTTGAAATGTGTTTTTTCTGCTGTTCTTAAAAAAGAATCAGCTTCCAAATTTAGACTAAAATTTAATGATTTTCCACATTTCTGTGCGATTTTAAATTTGAAGATAAAATGATCTTGCAGTTACAGACTAGGTGGAATTTCGAGCTTCCTTGATGTACAGCCAATACCAATAATCTTAAATCAGAGGTCTGCATTAGCAGGCATGTCCATGAAAGCAATGCTCCACATTGTATGTTTATGGTTTTAGGGGGTCTAATGTCCTATTCGTTAATGCAAGCAAACCACTAGTAAGCAATGTTGATGGTGAATCCCAGATGATGGTGAACTCCCATTACAAACACGAATGAAACACTTTCTAGCAATAATGAACCATGTTTTCTTGCGAGAATTTCTAAGATGTGATTACTTATCTTAGATTGCATTACCCTAAGATATGGCCAAGATATGATTATATAAGATGTGACCAATTATAATATATGACTTTGTTTGTTGCTTGGATGTCCTCATTGTTTGCTCCCAGATTGCTACTAGCAAAGTGTTTAATCTCGTGTTGGTGGGTGAATGTTAGGTGAATTTATTTTATCCAAAATCCACAAAATTGGCAATAGTATTTCCTAATGTTATCTACTATTCTGACTGACTCTAAAATGGTCTGGAGCTTTCTGACATGACTGTAAATGCAAGTTGTTTTTGGAAGGTTTCAGCTCTTATCTTGTTTCTGATATGTGTGTGTGTGTGTGTGTACATAGGCACCTGCTCCTGGATATGTTATAGCGCTTTCTGTTTTCGTTTTGGAAACCCAAGAACGGTCACACAGCTCTGGCATCTGCGATAAGGACTGGTTGGAGATAGATGGGGTCAGGTATGAAAAATAGTTTGTAATTTAGCATAGATGGTGTTAACATGTCACTTCATTGAGAATATGACCCCGAGGAGGATCTTTCAAATCAAACATCCTCTCAAACTTGACGGAAAGCTAAGCTTTCCAAATAGAAAAACAGAGACCTTTTGCACCTTATATAAAGCATGTGCAGGCAAATGCTGTAACTATTTGTGCCAGTAAAGTCCTGCAAACAGCCATGGGTGAATTACCAATTAATCTGGAGGATTGTTGGCCAGATGCCAGGAGAATTGACTTTCTTTTTTTGAATACTGTTATCTGATCTTTGATGTCCCCTTGAGTAGATAGGCTAGACACTGGTTTAATGGCACCTGTAAATTTCACATAGTTGAATTTAACTTGCATTTTACTTCATGAAAATATATAAAAATCATGCTACTGGATTAAAAGTTCTGAAAGTTAAAAAATAATATAAAATTAACTACACTTTGTCTTTGTCAAAATACAGAAACCTGTTTATTTACATGTGAAATGCCTCTGTGACAATTCTATTCATTTTAGTCACTTCTGTGCCCAATGCCTTTTTATTTCCTCCAATCAGTTTGTCAATTACTCTATCATATATCATTAAAAACTGTACAATGTTTTCAAGTTTAGACTCCTATGTACATCTTGTACACTGTCTAGAATCTTTGAGGCTAAGTTAAGCACTCATGAAAGAATGTTACTTGCTATAATACTATTAAAGTTAAAAGTTCCCATGCTGTCTAACTACAACATATTCTTGTTGTTCCCGACGTGAAAGGCGCTCTATAAATGCAATCTTGTTGTTGTTGTCTTGTTGTTATAACAAGTACTGTAATAATAATCCTTACATGTGTTATAGTACCTTTCATGTCAGGAGGATGTACTCAAGAGCATCACTGTAAAGTGTGGTGATTGTGTGTTTTGTGGGCAAACACAATAAAAGCGCAGTGAAGGTTAAGAAATAGTTTAAAAATAACCACTACATTTTTTATTTTCACTACAGAATGCAGTGTGGATGGATGTTAACAAAGTAATAAAGGGCTCTCTCTAGAGGTTATGAATTTCTCTTAGTGCTAAGGGCAGAGACATCAAGGATAGGCACTTAGAATGGGGAAAATCCGATTTTAAACCGTATGACCTGAAGTCCTCATTTGGGGCTTGAAACCACAACCTTCTGACGAAGAGGCGAGAGTGTTGCCAACTGAGCTAGACTGAAGAGAAAAACATCCAGTGGCACAACACTAATCCTGCCTGCTCCAGACTTTTTTATATTTACAGTCTGTAATTTGACAGCTTGGAAGCTTTCTTTAGTATCTAGTTAACATGTCCAACATCCATTTAACAGTTTAACCTAGTATCTAATTAAAATATCAAATGTCCATTGAACAGTTTAGCAGTGCTAACAAGTGCAAGCGATATGGTAATAGGAGAAAATCACCTGAAACTCCAAAACACAAATGAACCATTTTACGCATAGAGCAATTTGAGCTATTTTATGTGAATGCTAAATAATGCATGCAAAGCATGGTAGTATCTGCTTTTATTTATGCCTTTAATTTTGCAGATATTGTAGTCCCGTTTCTGAAGGCAGCCTCAGCAAGATTCATGGAAGATTTGTTAAAATCAAATTTCACTCGGATCAGTCAGTCACCCGCAAAGGCTTTTATTTGGAGTACAGAGCTTTTAGCTTTGAAGACCGTAAGTAACGTCTGATAATGTAATTTCAAACCATTGACTTTTATAACAGCAAGTTACATTTATGTAGTGTCTTTTATGTGCAAAAGAGGCACTTCAAAGTTTTTTATAGAATGAGACTGATTAGAAAGAACTGAATGTTTATTTTTAGTTCATTTTGGGGCTCTTGGGGGCACTGTTCAATACCAGCATTTATTCCACAACCCCAGCTGGCTTGAGAAGGTGATTATGGGCTTCCTCTTTAAAAACTTCCCACGATGGTGTTTCCTACTTCTCTTATTGTTGCAAAGGGATCATTCAATGTCCACTTGATTTATAACACAGATAGGATCTAAATTAATGACTTGATCAAAACGAGGAGCCTGCTCTGGAAATAAATAATGAACTTGTATTTACAATTCTGTCCAGAATTGTGTGTATTGTTGAAGGGCTTTCACCCACCTTTGAGATTTTCAATTGTAGTCAATGATCGACAAGTTCTTAGGTGTAATGCTGAACTGATTTTTTAATCCAGAGAAAGAGACATCTGATCCAGGTAAATAACAAGATTAAAGCGAAAGAGAGACACACACACACAGATTCAGAGATGCAGAGAGATGGCCCCTAGTTAAATCCACCCAATATTTTGAATTAATTGTCTCTCACCTTATTCTTGTTTACAGATGTTTCTGGCACAAATAATCTGTCTGTTTAGTACATAAAACCATTGTGGGAGCAGAAGTAGCACTCAGACATTTAGAGAGGCATATAGCGAGAGACACATGCAGATGCACACAGAGATCCATTATCCATAGTTTTCATATCCACAATGGGATTGGTCCCAATTAGTGTGCATATTGAGCTCAAAATCATATTCATTGTGAAAATAAGTTGTTTGCTGTATTGTATTAGACAGAGAATATTAATTTCACAAAAAATAATGAACACCTTCTCTAATTTGATTAGCCTGCCCCAACCAATTCCAATGCAAGGATGGGTCATGCATTTCTTTGAAGAACCATTGTGATGGATGGAGGGATTGTCTGGATGGAAGTGATGAGGTGAAGTGCAGTAAGTTATTATTATACCTAATTTTCATATCTATTGTCTTGCATTAAATTGGCTGCACCATCTAAATTGTGCATGGAGACGACTGATAAGACGACTAATAATCACATTTTATATAGGGCCTTATTACATCTTTGAGACACCAAAGCGCTTCACAGAATACACTGTAAAGTGAATTGACTGTATATTTTGTGGGTGAAATGCGGCAGCCAATTGCACACAGCAGTCCTACAAACTGACATGGATTGAAGTGGCCAATTTTGTTTTAGGAATCATTACCCTGGAAAAACAATAATAAGAAAAGCGATAATAATAAGATAATAAACCCAACAAAATATTGGCTCCACTGGCTCCGCATCTCCCAGAGGATAGAGATCAAAATCTTCATCCTCGCCTTCAAGGCCCTACATGACCTTCCTTAGCTCTGTGATCTGCTAGCCCCAAATCAACTTGTCCGCTCCCTCCGCTCAGCAGGCTGTGGCCTGCTCTATGTCCCCTGCCCAACCTATCCAGTCATCGGCGGTTAGGCCCTTAGCCTCTCTGCCCCCACCCTTTGGAACTCAATCCCACATTCGCTTTGCCTCACTCCCTCCCTTGCCTCTTCCAAGGCACGTCTCAAGATCCTTCTCTTCGACCACTCCTTCAACCACCCTAGTATTCTCCATGTCCCCCTCCACCCTGATCCCAACCCCCCCACCCACCCCCAGCTCAAGTCCAAATCCCTGACTGTCCAGCGCCTTCTGCTGACGTGAAAGGCATTATACAAATTTAATTTTGTATTGTTTTGTAAATCAATGTTATCATGAACAAGACAACCACAGCTTGTGTTTGATTGTACTGCAGATTGTCATTTTAACTGCTTAAATGGAAACTGCCTTTCCCAGACATCCCTTTGCGATGGAGTAAATGATTGTGGAGATGGAAGCGATGAAATAAACTGTACCAGGGCATGTGAGTCATGAGAAATGTTACTTTGGTTTTCTTCGTTCTTAGAAACTTGCTTGAACATGAACTAAGCAGATCTCTTAAGGTCTGTGCTACATTAGTGTCTATCACAATATGCAATAATAATTAAATAATAATTATTCTTGCGTTTGATATTCCATGTTGAGATGTCACAGGATTTAGGACAAATAGGCCAGCCAATTTGCACGTAGCAAGTGTACCACAGACAGCTATGAAGTCAATGACCAATTTTGTGTGGGGAATTGTTGGCAAAAGAAACTCCCTTCTTTTTCCAAATAATGCCACGGCATCTATAACATCCACCTAATCCTCAATTTAACGATTCATCTCCAACAATGAAACACACTCCCAGCGCTGTATTGTAATTATATAGCGCTGGGGTTGTATCAGAGTCCTGACATACAGCTTGAACCCACATCTTTCTGACTTGGAGCCGAGACCACCTGAACTTGTCTGATACCCAAATATTAAGTCGCTTGTTAAAAGATGAAGATGTCATGAATCATGGACACTGTTTTTCATCGGCAATAGTCACGTCCTCCCGACGTGAAAGGCGCTCCATAAATGGAATCTTGTTGTTGTTGTTGTAAAGTAAAATTATAAATTACATAGAGCCATGACATCAAGGTAAAGTACCACTCAGCATTTATGTGGATAAAGTGATAGCATTTCTTTCCCAATGCAATTTTCTAACTTAAATTTAAAAAAAGGAATTCAAAAGAAAAAAAGAATTTAAAAAAAAAAAATTTCAGTAGAAATTTCAAAAGAAATTCAGGTTTCTTTCACTGGAACTGAGGAAGTGCAAATTTAGCTAATTAAATTCCAGCAGTATTCCAGACATACACTCTGGGATCCACTGGCAACAAGGTTGCCCTCGACAATCTGCACCTAGACATCCTGGGATTAAGTAAATCGAGAGTGCAGCTCTGTGAGGAGAGAGCACTCACTCCAGTACTGGATAAACAGAAACCACACAATGTGGAACTCTCAGTACTTTGGTTTAGAAATTGGTAATTGGTTTCCTTGCGTGGCAGGGGCCTGACTGAACAGAATTCACCAGAATCGAGAGGGATAATAGTACACTGGAAGAGGCATCAGCAATGATTGGTGTGCACAGGAAGCCACAAAAGATAATAATAATCCTTACATTTGATGTAGCGCCTTATCATGTCTTCTAGACGTCTCAAAGCGCTTCACAGAATATACTGTAAAGTGTATTTTGAATTGACTGAGATCGATAGATTTTTAAAAACTAAAGGTATTAAGGGATATGGGATAGGGCGGATAAATGGAATTAGCTTCGAAGATCAGCCATGATCTTATTAAGTGGCGTGGCAGACTCAAGGTGCCGAACGGCCTACTCTTGCTCCTATTTCTTATGTTCTTATTTTGTGGGCGAACCGTGGCAGCCAATTGCGCCCAGCAGTGTCCCACAGACATTCGTGGATTGAGTGACCAAATAATAATTATTTTTTTTGAAGGGATTACTATCCCCAGAAAAGTGATCCGCCAATTGACTAACAACTAGGCCCTACTTACTGCTAGGAAAGCACAAGTGTGTGGAGTAAGGAAACATGGCCAATGTTTCGCTCTTCCGGGGAATCGAACCCTGGTCCTCTCGCTTGCGAGGCGAGTGCTCTAACCACTGACCTACAGAACTCCACAGCATATCTAGCTTCAAGAAGAAACAGACCTTCATGTGAAAGAGAGGGGACTAGAAGGGTGCGGGAGGGAATAAGGGCTAAGTGGCGTATAAACTGGGGCTGATGGGACGTGGTGGCCTGTTTCCACGCTGTACGTTCTTTGTAAATTGATTTTACTGCTCAAGTGCTTATACAATTCCCTTCAAAATACTTCTGACAATCCAATCTCACCCAATTTTGATAATGATTGAATTGCTTTCAATCTAGTTTATGTTCCCAACAAACCAAGCAGCTATTCCCCATGTGCCAGAAACACATGGCCTCAGGCTGTGCCCTCTGTGTTTTAAGGATAACGAGAACTGAGAGGATCTGAAGCGTCACACAGCACACTCATCTTCCATCAAACGGCTTATGTTTTTTAAATAATAATATTTTAAACAGTTTCAGATGATGTGCAGAAATATTACCAAACAATCCTTGTTGATGTTGCTCTGCTTTTCTTAAACGATTCGTTGGGAATTCCGTTGGAACAGAGAGTTAGGTCACCAGCAGATTCAGTTCTTGGTGCTGTGACTTAGGCAATTGGAACAAAGAGAACAGGATCCACTTAAAATTTGACTCCAGTGAAAAGTCAGCTGTTTGCCAGTGAATTGACTGGAACCACATTTCACTTCCCAAGACCTTTAAAGTCATTTTGTGGGAACACAGTTAATGTTTCTCTGTGCAAGTCTCCTAGGTGTTCCTGAAAAACTGTACAGGGTGTTTCTGAAAAAAGAACATATCCTAGATTCAGCAATAGCATGTTAGGAGGTATGAATATGTCCTGCTCTATTTTTGTAGAAGGTTGGACAACACCTACAACTCCCTCCCCCACACTCCTCTCATTCAATTAATTTCTTGTCTGAAGTCTACTACCTCTTCCCTTCACAAACCCAACTATTATTCCCTGGCCCCATGTCAGCTGACATTGTCAGCCTCTTCTATCCATTCATCATTTCACAGCTGTTATTATCGCCCGTTTTCAAAAAAATCCATCAACCCCTCAAGAAACTAACGTCCATTACCCTTTCTTGCTAAGGTACTGGAATCTATTATTGCAACCCAACTATGTGCTTACCTTTCTCACAGTTTTTTTTTAATTCCTCCAGTCAGGCTTTCCACCTGCTCACAGCAATGACACCGCCTTAGTCAGTCATTAATGACATCCTTCTGACTGAGGCTTCCTACCATCATCCTCGTCAACTTCTCTTCCACCTTTGACACAATTAAAACTACATTCTCCTCCATCGCCTTTCTTCTGTGGTCCACATCCTTGGTTGTGAGCTTTCATGCTTCAGTTCCTATTTGGTCCAGTATCATCATTGCATCTCCTCCAAGGTTTTCTCAATCCATGTTCATATAGAAACACCTGGTATATCCCAATGCTCTATCTTTGGATCTCTCCTGTTCTTTTAAGAACTACAAAAAAATGACTACAAAGTTGAGACTGAATTCAACAATTTTCTCAATTATGGATGTTCTGAAATGCTCCTAAATAGAGTAAATCTAGATCCAGGTAGAATCTCTCCCTAGATATTTGTGGATGAATGATTAATAGTTATAGTCATTGGAATTAAATATCTCTTTTCATCTTTTAATTTGTATTCAATATTTGATGAGAAATCACCATTGTTGAAGTATTCGATAGTGTACAAGGGATGCTAGTAATCCGTTCACAGCAAGCCCATATGGACGTCGCCTGCAAAATGCATGAAGGTATCCTTAAATGTGACTTCTTACTCATCCTTTGCACTGAATTTCTCTACAGATATCTATTCTGCAGTGCATAAAGGCTGCTACTTATCTTCATATAAGTGCCGTAATGGAAAATGCCTGAACAAGATCAACCCAGAGTGTGATGGGAGAAGAGACTGCCTGGATGGGTCAGATGAAGCAGGCTGTGGTATGTTGAGGTAAAATGTGGACGTGGTGTATAGCAAAGCATTTTATATCAGGTGTGGTCATAGATTAGAGGGATCAGCCTAGCTCAGTTGGTAGCACTCTTGCCTGTAAGTCAGAAGGTTGTGTATCCCAATACAGTGATGAGGGAGTACTGGATTTTGGAGTTGTCATTCTTCAGATGAGACATTAAACTGACATCCAGTCTGCATGATCAGGTAGATGTTAAAGATCCCATGGCATTACTCAAAAAGAGAAGGGAGTTTCTTCTTGTGTCCTTGCCCAGGATTCCCAAGATAAAATTGGTCACTCACTTCATGGCTGTTTGTGGGGCATTGCTGTGTGCAAATCGGCTACCTCATTTGCCTATAGAATGCACAGTTACTAAATATTACATTACATCTTGTGAAGTGTTTTGAGATGTCCTCCCAACCTCAAAGGCACTATCTTAAATGCAAGATTTTTTGAATTTGATTTTCTTGGATGAAATCTTCAAATTTCAGTACAATAACACATGTAGTTTTTTTAGATGCCTGTAATAATGATTTACATCTTACAACTTCTCTTAACATCAACAAAACTGTCTTGGGCAAATATGTGCATATCTAAATGCGGTGTAAATACTGCATAATGAATCGTCAGATGTGGTTTCTGTATCATTTCCTCATAAGATGATGCTGAGCCACTTCATTCACTGAATAAGCTCGATTAGAGAATGAGAATTCAGTTTAAAGTAGTGTTTATATCTAGCCTTAAAAATTATGAATTCTGTGAGAGTGTAAAGCTCAGGGTTTAATGGGTAACTTTAGGACCGCCACAAAACAAGTAATGTAATTCTGATTATGGTTGTAACTTAAATGTCTAAATCTATTACAGCGTGTGGAACAAGCCCAGCCAAGAAAACAAAAATAGTTGGGGGTGAAGATGCCAGGAATGGTGAATGGCCTTGGCAAGTCAGCCTGCAGATGGGGATGTATGGGCATATATGTGGGGCATCCATTGTTTCAAATCGTTGGCTCCTCTCTGCTGCCCATTGCTTCCAAGACTCTGACTCTATACGGTACACTGCAGTGTGATCATTCCATTTTGTAAGAACCGCAAAGGTTATTTTTTTAGAAATGTATGGGATTTGTTCTGATAGCTGTTTCAATTTTGAATCAAGTGACCATTAATCCTTGTGCACTGAAGCTAAATTCAACATTCGTTGGATATGCTAACATTCAAATGAAAAGCAAAAGTTTTAGTTTTTTATGGAATATTTTCGCATAGACATGTACAAGATCAGGGAAGTTAAAAGATGAAACAAAGGGTAATTGAGCAATATTGCTTTAGTTGCTTTTCTCACTTTGGTGTCCTGGCCAACAATCCCCCAGATAAAATTGATCACTCACTTCATGGCTGTGCATAAATTAACTGCCTCATTCATTTACAAAATACAATTATTAGAATTTCCTTTGAAGTGTTTTGACACATCTTCCCGATGTGAAAAGGTGCTACTCTATATCAAATTTAAGGATTCTTATCATATTACTACACAGATAAGTATCCACTGTCATATGTTTATTATTCAATATATGTTTAAATGGAACAAATGGTCAAATGTATCCTCATAAAGACAATAATAATAATCCTTGCATTTGATACAGCACCTCATCACATTTTCAAGATGTCTCAAAGTGCTTCACGGAATATATTGTAAAGTGAACAGATTGTATTTTGTGGGCAAAACTCAGCAGCCAATAGCGCACAGCAGTGTGCCACAAATAGTCTTGGATTGAGCGATCAAATCATTATTATTATGTTTTTTTTAAATTTTGGCCGAGTAATTATTACCCCTGGAAAAGCAATCCGCCAATCCACTAACAACCGGGTTCCTACTTCCTGCTAGGTAAACAGAGGCATGTGGAGTGAGGAAATTGCCTAACATTTCGCCCAGCCGGGAATCAAACCTAAGTCCTCTCGCTTGCAAGAGGCGAGTGCTCTAACCACTGAGCTACAGCTACAGCCACACCACGTTTAATCACTGATAATAGATTTCTTTATTGTTACAGATATTCTACCTCATCATCTTGGACAGTGTATCTAGGCCTGAGATTAATGAACAGGATGAATACTCGGATAGTCACCAGATCGATTAAGAGAATCACTGTGCATTCCAAATACAATCAATACACCTCAGATTACGATATTGCACTGTTAGAACTGAATGCACCGGTCTTTTTCAGTGACACCATCCAACCCATCTGCTTACCAGCTGCTACTCATGTCTTCAGTAATGGAGCACACTGCTACGTGACTGGTTGGGGAGTCCTACATGAAGATGGTATGTGGCTTAGGCAAAGCTGCTAAATGAGTGAAGCAGTGCTTAAGACAAGTGTGTTTCATCTATTTTGATTTACAAGATGCAGCGTGAGTTTCTGATAAATACAATTTAGTATTGATTTGCCGCAGAAACCAATATGTACCATAAACTTAAGTGTACAGTACAAAAAGGGCATGACTGGCGTTATTCTAGAATTTCGGCATAAATGCATATGGTTTGCTGAATACTTCAGCATTTCCAGAAAAAGAAAAGTCAATTCTATTTTTGCTATTTGATGTACAGAACATTTCTCATGTTCATATTGGTGTTTTTTCTGACATCTGTGCAGTCCACTCATCATTGCGTATTTAATTTGCGAATTGTATGACCACATGACTGCAGAGGGAATTAGAGGTGCCCTGATTGTGCACCAGTCAACAACAAAACCAACAAAATTACATTTGTAAAGTGCCTTTCACGTCTGGAGGACGCTGAACAGTCGGGGATCAGGACCCAAGTGTGGGGGGGCAGGTTGGGGTGAGGCAAGGCAAAGAGGTAGGGGTGGTGGCTGAAGGCACAGTGGAAAAGGAGGCTCTTGAGTCAGGACAGAGCAGTGGTTTTGTAAATAAGGACAGTTGAGGGTTGAACAAAACACCCAGGTTCCTGCCTAGCTTGGTGAGTTGGAGTGTGCATCGTGGATGCTGATGCTGCCAGTGCCTGAGGTGCAGAGGCGCTGGCGCGAGCCAATCAGGAGGGCCTCAGTCTTGCTGACATTCAGCTGTAGAAAATTGGCTCTCATCCAGACTGTCAGACAGATAGTCTGTCAGAACTTCAGTTGTCCTGGAATCGAGGGTGGAGGCAGAGAGATAGAGTTGGGTGTCATCCGCGTACATGTGGAAGTTGACCCCATGTCTGTGGATGATGTCACCAAGGGGGAGCATGTAATAATAATAATAATAATAATCCTTGCATTTGATATAGCGCTTTTCACGTCGGGAGGACGTCCCAAAGCGCTTCACAGAACACACTGTAAAGTGAATTGACTGTATATTTGTGGGCGAACGCGGCAGCCAATTGCGCACAGCAATGTCCCACAAACAGCCGTAGATTGAAAATGACCAACTTATTATTGTTTTGGGTTTTGGAGGGATTATTATTAGGCGTGTGGAGTAAGGAAACTTGCCCAAGGTTTCGCCCTGCCTGGAATTGAACTCCGGTCTCTCACTTGCAAAGCGAGTGCTCTAACCACTGAGCTACAGGACTCCACGTCCTGTAGAGGTTGAAGAGAAGGGAACCGAGGACAAAGCCCTGAGGAACACTGTGGGGAGACAAATTGGAGACTGTATGAGAGATAAGACCTGAACCTTTTAAGGACAGAACCTGTCCTTGAATGCAGTTCTCTCTGTGCGGGTTTAGCACATGCTTTACACAACCTGCAAATTAGATTCCCATTTTCAACGAATTCAAGTGTCCGTGCATTGCTCTAACCAATAGGTATGAAGATGGATTCTAGTCTAAGCAGACTAGGATCAAGTAGGCCACCACATGAAAGGTCTGCAAATTTACAAGTCATCACTAGCTTACTTTGTTGATATGAGTCCAAGAGTTATTAATGCGGACCCATAGAGTAGCATGAGCAGCTTCATCAATCTCATCATGGGAATCACTTGACAGGAGAAAAAGCCACTGACCATGAAGTCTTGGTGTGCGCCCAAACCTGTGAAGGAGGAGTGACAAAGTGATCACTGTGGTGAAGGGTTCAAATTCCAGGAATTGCAAGTTAAAAATTAGGAGTTCAAGGGAAGTCGGGCAGAACCTTTGTTCAACAAACTTATGAAATAAATTGGCAGGGAAGGCAGTGCAATCAAATGGGTTGATGAGGCAGCCAGATTCATTTCACAAGAGAGAATCGAGGGTCAAGCAATAGTGGAAAATGTGGTGAGATGAGGGTCACGATCAGTCAACAAGAAAAGTACTTGTTGACCCTAATAAACTCTTCTAAGACATTCTTTGTTCCAGCATCCTATCTGATTGACATTTCCCCAGTTTGAAGGAAGGGAAATGGGATAATAATAAAAGACCTCAGAGTTGGGATTCCATGATCAAGCAAAAGTAACAGATTAGAGTAGCAGATCAATTTCGTGCTCAGGCAGGAGATCGGGAAAAGAAGGCAATCTCCTCACTCAATGGTGGAGGGACTGTATCTTCATAGGAAAAAAAGCATGAGAAGAGGAATAGGATCTTGGAGACGAAGAGTGGACAAGCACAGCTCCACAATGGAGCAAGTGGGTATGGGAATATCTTAAAAACAGTGAGTATGTGTTGGGGAGATTTTAGAGAAAAGACTGCATGATCCATCAATTTCATATAATTTCCAAAGTAATGAAATACCGCCTCAAATATTTAAGAATCTCTGTAAATGTTTCACTCCGCTGCGAAGAGAAACCCAAGGAAACGTAAGGTGCCATGACTCAGACAACCTGACAGTTATTAAGCTCAATTATTTCTTTTACTGTACGTTCACCTGCAGTTTGAACCAAACAGGCCAAAGGTTTTCCTATTTTTTAATATGTGTAGTGTAACCGGGGATAGTTTATTTTGCTCATTCAAGAAATCCAATTTGGAAAACTGAACAAATTTTAAACCACTTTTGCCGCTGCAATACGGACGCAGAGATGTTGCTGTGGTGCCACCTTACTGGAGAACTGGAGTTAAACGTATCTTTCCGATAAATAAACAAAGCTGTCAGTTGAGCGTGGATGTAACTGGTCGTAGGAAGAATGGAGGCTTCAGTCACCAGCTCCTGAGAGGAAGTAACCTTGGCGTATCTCGGCGGTGGTTCCAACAGAGCAATGGTTCAGTAAATAATACTTAACTGACAAAAGCTTTTCTGTCCGTTAGGTGAACTGGCTACTGTTCTCCAGGAGGCCAGGGTGAAAATGATTCCACTCAGTACCTGCAACAAGTTATATGAGAACGGAGTGACTCCCAGAATGCTCTGTGCCGGCTACCTTCATGGCGGAGTCGATGCCTGCCAGGTAAGGGTCTATGCACTTGATGACAGACGACTGAGTTACAGGTGAACCCTTCAAGGATCGTGGGGAGCTGTGGGTTTGAAAAACGAATAATAATCATCCTTGCATTCTAATACAGTGCCTCATCATGTCTTTGAGACGTCTGAAAGCGCTACACAGAATATACTGTAAAGTGAATTGACTGCGTATTTCGTGGGAGAAATGCGGCAGCCAATTGCACACAGCATTGTTTCACAAACAGTCGTGGATTGCGTGACCAAATTATTATTTATTTTTAAACTAATGTTTTGGATTTTCTTTGTTTTCTACCACAGCAAAACCTTCTTTTAACATTGTCTTTATTTCATAGAGAAAATTCTTGTCTCAGCTCTGTATAATATATATATATATATATATGTGTATATATATATACACACACACAGGGTGAATCAGGTGTCCTTACTCATAGAGTTTTTAATTATACTTATGTTCTTTTTTTAAGACTCAGGAGATGCTTTCATTGCTTTCGAGAAAGATTTTGTACAGAGTTGATATGTGTAAATGTCTACATAACATGCAGTTTAAACATCTCATATATAACTATGAGTAAGGATTTTTGATTCACCCCATTTGTGTGTGTGTGTCTATGTGATCTTTTTCAAACTATACATAAAGATCAATTGTATTTGTGTGCAAGGTGTCGTATTCTGCTTCTCTCTGATATTTACAGTAGTCAAGAGCATAGAAAGATATCTGAAATTGAGATGTTAAGATACTTTTCATTTCATTTTCCACTATTGGGAAAATGTGTACAGTTTCCACGATTTATGGACTTACTTGATGCATGACTGTCAGCAAATTCAAAGTGGAGAAGCATCAAGCTGTGCTGGCGTGAAGGTGCTTTCCATCTAAAAATCTTAATTAAAAAATTTCCTTTCCCTGTAACCCTCTTATTCCAGGGAGATTCGGGAGGACCGCTGGTTTGTCTGGAAAAAGGGAAGAAATGGTTCCTGGCAGGAATAGTCAGCTGGGGAGAAGGATGTGCTCGCCACAATCGCCCTGGTGTTTACACTCGCGTTTCTAGGTTTCGTGACTGGATCAAACAACACATCAACTGAATGGCCAGTTTACTTTACAAGGAAACTCAACAATGTTTCCCAATTGAATAATTTCAACAATACAGTATTTCATTTGTGGCTCACAGTGGAGCCCAGAGGTTGAGGAATCATTTGTTCACTGACTCAGTGCGCTATTGTGTGGAGTATCAAAGGCCTGTAATAGACTGAGAAAGAAAGAATTTCTGGAGGTGGAAAAAAGACAGGAGCACCAGTTAATAGATCACCAAAGGTGCCTGCCAAGAAAAAAATTGATAGTGAATTTATGTAATTCTAGTAGCTGTCATTATATAGGTTATAACTGTAGTGCCTTTGTCATGAGGCTACATTAAAAAGAAGTTTCCTAAAGTGAAATACTTGTAACCTAGTTTTATAAGGGTTTTAAACAAAAAGACATAATATTTCTATGTCCCTTAAGGATTGATTATTTCTTTAAGCAATGACTATGTGTAGCATTGCCTGCACTAGATATATGAAAGATCCTGGTCTCTTATTTAATGACTAGGAATGCCACTCTGCTTTTTGACAAGATAAACATCACTATATAAAATATGATGATCATGGTTGGATGTGTCTTTTTTATTGTATAAAAGTGCTCCTTTTCATGCCAAACCATTAAATATGAATCAATTGGATCAATTAGCTTTAAAATGTTATTGTTGTTACCTGTGCAATAAAACATAAACTAGCATTTCTCTCATCTATTTGTACTTCTACACTAAGATTGAGATCCGCTAGATTGTGCTCCTTAGGTAGATGTACAATTACCGCCAATCAGATTATCACAAAACAAAAAATAATAAATATTAAATCATATTCATGTTTTCTTGGCATTAACACAAACTCAGAAAATAGCAGAATAATAATGGCAATAATGATGCAAAGGCTCAGGCGGACTTACAGAATTCCACATTGAGTGATGGTGAACTAGAAACTAAATGCCACTGACGTTCCTCTGTACCACATCTCTGAATCAGAAGGCTGTGGGTTCAAGCCCCACATTGGGATCTAAACTCACATAATATAAGTGCTGATAGGGTGTTGCATTGTCGGAGGTGCTGTCCTTCGGATGAGATGTTAAATCAATATTTTGTCTGCCTGTTCAGGTGAACGTTAAAGATTTCATAGCATTACTCTGGCCAACAGTCTCCCAAATAAAATTGGTCATTGGTTTCATGATGGTTTGTAGAACACTGTGCAATTGGGCTGTCCCATTCACAACCTTAGTCACTCTACTTCATAGTAGATTATCACATCGATAATAAGACTTCTTCACTGTTATCCCCAGCTCCACTCTCCACAAGCTTCAATTCATCCAAATTTCTGCAATCATTGCTCTTTCCTCTGAACATTCATTCACTCCCATCGTTGGCAACTTCCACTGACACCTCATACCCGAGTGGATGAACATTAAGATCTTCGTCCAGACTTTCCAAGTTCTCCCTTCACGTTCTCGCCCTCACCCCTACAACCTATGTAATGTCCTCTATCCTTACTCTGCTGGCCATACCTCAAATCTAGTTATATTGTCGTTCTTCGGACCATCACTTAAAAAACAGCTTGAAGGTGTGATGCCAATACTCCTTTATCCCTCTCCCCACTGCCTCCAAACCTACCACCATCTTCTACTAACCGTGGAAGAAGATCTCTCCGCAATCCCTCTCCACTGCCCTGGAGTCCTCTGAACTCCTCCCCCTTTGGCCCACCTCCCACACCAACCCATCCTCTGCGTTTACTCTCCTCCACAGCACCCTCTCCACCACACTCGACGCCCTTGCCCCCCTCACCTTCCGAACTGCCTCCTATTCCTGATGCTCACCCTGGTTCACCAGCCACCTCCGCTCGCTCAAGGGCTAGGTGTGGGCTGCCGATCGCACTTGGCTCAAATCCAGCTTAACGGTCCACCAGCACATCTGGCTGGACCTCATCAAAACCTACTGCTCCGCTCTCCCCTCGGCCAAATCGTCCTTCTACTCCAGGTTAACCCCAGGCTCCTGTTCTCCACCATCAACCGGCTCCTCCGCCCTCCCCGTCACACCTCGCAGATTCTTTCCTCCGATTCCCAATGCGAGGAAATGCTGGACTTCCTCGAGTCCAAAATCGAGGGAATCCGCTCAGCTGCCACTGCACTCCCAATCCACCCCCTCCCTATCCACCGCCCACACTCCGACCACTACCCATCCTTCCTTCCACACCTTCAAACCTGTCACCCCCTCCTCTGTCATCACCACCATATCCTCCATGAAGCTCCCCATCTGCTCTCTGGACCCCATCCCCAACCCTCTCCTTAAATCCCAGCTCCACCTCCTTGCCCCACAACTCGCCGATATCATCAATCTCTCCCTGTCATCTGGCACTGTTCCTACACCTCTCAAAACAGCCACTATCACCCCCACTTTGAAGAAACCTTCCTTTGACCCATCACAGCTATCCCGCTACCGGCCCATCTCCCACCACCATTTTCTGTCTAAGGTCCTTGAGAGAGCCTTCGTCTCCCAGCTTTGCTTTTTCCTCTCCTCTCATTCCTTCCATGAGCCCCTCCAATCGGGTTTCCGTGCTGCCCACAGCACGGAAACTGCTCTGGTCAAGGTCCCAAATGAAATCCTGACCACGTGTGACCAGAGCACACTCTGCCCCCTCATCCTCCTCGACCTCTCTGCCGCCTTTGATACTGTGGTACACTTAATCCTCCTCCACCACCTCTTCTCCCACCTCAACCTTCAAGGTTCTGTCCTTGACTGGTTCAGGTCCTACCTTTCACACCACCTCCACTTCATTTCTGCAAACAGCTTCTCCTCCAGCCCCCACGCTGTCTCGTGCGGCGTTCCTCAGGGCTCTGTCCTCGGTTCCCTTTTCACTCTCCATATGCTCAACCTTGGTGACATCATCCGCAGACATGGGATAAATTTCCACATGCATGCGGTTGACACCCAACTCTATCTCTCTGATGCCATCCTGAACTCCAGGATTATTGGCGTCCTGACTGACTGCTTGTCCGACATCAAGTTCTGGACGAGGGACAACTTTCTCCAACTGAACATCAGCCAGACCGAGGCCCTCCTGATTGGCTCACACCAGTGCCTCCGCAGCTCGGGCGCTGGCAGCATCAGCCTTCACGGCTCTGAACTCTCCTTTCTCCCCCACGTCTGCGCCATGACCGGCATTGCCTACCACCACCTCCGCAACATTGCCAGACTCCACCACTGGCTCACCCTCAGGCTGCCAAAACCCTCATCCATGCATTTGTCACATGCTCCATTATGGAAACTCCCTCTTCATCGGCCTTCTCAACTCTTCCCTTCACAAGCTGTAGATCATCCAAAACTCTGCAGCTAATGTACTCTCGCGCACCAGGCTCCGTGACCCCATCACTCCCACCCTCGCCCGACTCCACTCGCTCCCCATTCCTCAGAGGATTGAATTCAAGATCCTCGTTCTCACTTTCAAGGCCATCCATGGCCTTGTCCCCTCCTATCTCTCTGACCTGTTGACTCCCTACCAACCTGCCCGTTCCCTCCAATCAGTGGGCTACAGCCTGCTCCATGTTTCCCGCCTGATCCACTCTTCCATCGGTGGCCGGGCTTTCAGCCTCTCTGCCCCCACACTCTGGAATTCCATCCCACAGTCCCTTCACCTCGTTTCCTCCCTTGCCTCCTTCAAGGCCGGTCTCAAGACCCTCCTCTTCGATCGTGCTTTCAGTCGCCCTCCCACCTCTCTGCCTTCCCTCACCCCTACATCACCCCTCTCCCACGCTCGGGTCCTGACCCCTGAACCGTTCAGCGCCTTGGGACGTCCTCCTGCCGTGAAAGGCGCTCTCTAAATGTAGTTTTGTTATTGTTTGTTGTTGTTGTCGTTGTTGCGTAAGGTGGGCGTGCTGGAAACTTGAGATCAGGTGAGCCGAAGGGCTTTCTTCATCCAAACCAATCTTGTGATGGATGAATTTAAGAGGTGAAAGAAACAGTCTGAACTGAGCAACTCTGGCTTGGGAGTAAGAAGAAAATGGAATGAAAGCCAGAGGAGGAGTTTGTTAGATCCGCCCTTGAGGTTTCCACAGTCCTGTGTGTGTGTGTGTGTGTGGTGTGTAGATGAGAGTCGCGTGTCTTATATGTATCTTTAATGCTTTACTCTTAATGCAAGAAGTCCCATAAAGTTAGTCCTCCTTTCTCCTGGTCAGAGAGAAACCTGCAGCCCTGCAAGAACGTCGGATGCACAACCAGCTGCTTAATTCTGATCACAGGCTGTGTGATCAGCTCAGGTTGTGGAGGGGGTTGGTGGGTGGAGAGAAAACTAATCGATCATCCAGACCAAGAGTACATTGATTATCGAAATGCAACCACCAGTCATCACCCAAGGAAACCGTGTTCCAATCCAAACCAGGGAGAAATATGTAAGAAAAACCAAGCAGCAAGTTGCAGATCAGCAAAGTGCTTACACAAACCAAGCATTGGAGCCTGATTTCCCTGCAGCTGTCTTCAGCGTTCAGCAGGTAAGGAGCTTCAAACGTCCACTTTTTTTTAATAGCAAAAGGACATGTGCAACCATTTGGGCTTTGATATCTTCCAGCAGATAAATTGCAGTGAAATGAACGAGAAACAGTGAGAGAGATGGTGCTTGAGCTGCTGGTGGTGGTGGTGGTTTGGGTGGGGGAGAAAGGAGAAGATGATATAAGTTTCCTGTATTGAAATGCAGTGATAATACAACTTTGTTTCGTTTTTATTTTTGTTTCTTTGTTTGTTTGAGCTATGCAGCATTTTAGGTTTTTTTTTAAAATTATAGCTTTGCTACAGATCTGCAGGCCAACGTACTTTCAAGTAAATCTGGGAAGATAACACTGTTTAATTCTTCAATCATTACCTGGATTTTCTGTGTGCTGTAAGCAGGTACAGCCCAGTACTATTCCACAATCAGTAGAATACAGTATCACAGTATATTATAGCCAAATCAGTATTGTCTGCTTTCAAATATCACCTTGTTGCATATCCACAATATCTCTTTTTTAACCATACGACTCCTTCACCAAAAACCCTATAGAAATTTAGTAATACAGAAATAATCCTTGCGTTCGATACAGCACCTTTCACACCTGGAGGGTGTCTCAAAGCACTTCACGGAATTTACTGCAAAGTGTAGTTACTGTTCATTTTGTAGGTGAATTTGCAAGAAAGAAGGCCATTTGGCCAATTGTGTCTGTTCTGTCTTTGACGTCTCTTTGAGGGAGAATTGTAATACTTGTGGAGTGGATTTCACTGCTGTTGAAAATTGGGTGCAGTCATTAAGGTTATTAAAATATTTGAATTCAGACTACTATTCATATTCCTCGAACAATCCAATGTATTAATTGTCAAATTCATTTATTAAAAATGACTCTTTACTTTCTCCAAGTCTTCCCTTCTTTGCTGAAAAGATCAAGAGCCAGAAAATGGAGTATTCCCTTCTCACATGTTTGCAGCAAAATTGACTTTAATGCTGTGGTTTGTGCACTTAAATCACTGACCTTTGCTGATCTTAACTGATCATGGAATAGTGCTAGACACCCTTGTTTATTATGTAGCCTATCCGCTGGAATAGTCAATGTTTGAAGCGCTACCCTGGATGCTACTCTGCGTAAGGCACTGTATAAATGCAAGTGGTTGTTGTTATTGTTCGCCTGATGTGAAAGGTGCTTCGTAAAGTGTATTGTATTGAATGTTCCCACCCACCTAAGTAATCATTTCAGAATATAATCCACAATCCTGGTTATTTTTGAAATTGGAATTATTTCACATTATTATGGGGACCTTTTAAATATTTAAAAAACCTGAATTGCTCTTTAACTGTTAATTGATTTTTACCTTAATTATATATCTGCCTTTTCACACTCCAATTTATTATAATAGATAATAATAATAATAATCCTTGCATTTGATATAGCGCTTTTCACGTCGGGAGGACATCCCAAAGCGCTTCACAGAACACACTGTAAAGTGAATTGACTGTATATTTGTGAGCGAACGCAGCAGCCAATTGCACATAGCAATGTCCCACAAACAGTCGTAGATTGAAAAAGACCAATTTTTATTATTGCTTTTGGTTTTGGAGGGATTATTATTAGGCGTGTGGGGTAAGGAAACTTGCCCAAGGTTTCGCCCTCTGCCTGGAATTGAACTCAGGTCTCTTGCTTGCAAAGTGAGTGCTCTAACCACTGAGCTACAGGACTCCACGATGTAGCAAAATAAAATTGTAGATTTGACTTCTGTTTTCCATCAGAAGCAATCTGAATTATGTACTTACATCCCCTTCCTCCATGGCCCCTACCACTCCCCCCTCCTTATACTCCTTTGCCCATCCCTCTCAACCACCAGACGAAGCCCATCACCTGCTGCCTCAACCCCCACACAGCTGCTGTCCGTCTCTATCCTCTCCCCCTTAAAAACCATTGAATTAGTGCCCTCCTCAAAAAACCCACCCTTGACTCCTCCAACTTACACATTACCGTCCCATTTCCTTCTTGTACTTCCTTGCCAAAGATCTGGAACACGTTGTCGCTAACTAGTTTTGCTCACACCTCTCCCTCCTCGAACCCCTCCAGTCTGGTTTCTGCCCTGCCCATAGCACAGAGACGTCGCTTGTCAAGATTACAAACAATGTCCTCTTTCTCTGTGACCAGGGCTCCCGCTGCCTCCCCATCCTCCTGGACCTCTCATCCACCACCTCTCCTCCCTCATCCACCTTAGTGGAACTGCACTAGCCTGTTTCAAGTTCAGTCTAACAATCCGCCTGCACTTTGTCTCTTCAAATGGTTTCTTTTCCCGCCCCCGCCCAGTCACTTGCAGGGTACCCCAGGGCTCCATCCTTCGCCCCCTCCTTTTCCGCATCTACATGGGACTCCACCCTGCATGAGGGGCGCAAAATAAATGCAAGTTGTTGTTGTTATTGTGTTTCCTAATTCTACAAACCAACAGGAATTCTAATTCTACAAACCAACATTGCTCATTCGAAGGACGCAGAGGTAAGCCATCACAAAGTGACACTCTACAGCACTATACTACTGAATTCTCACTGTACAAAAAAAGCCATAAACACTTCACCCCTCAGCCCACTCCCCTGGCACCCCCAAACCCACACTACAGCAAATAGCTTCCAAATTAAGATGGAATTTAAGTCTAAAATCCAAAATATTAGAACAATCTTAGTCCAATGTCTTGTGCATTAGAATGAGGAGTTTTGATCCCATGATATTTAGTTTTGCTCTCATGGTCTTAAATCAAATCACCCTGCTTACACCTATGTCACGTACACTGCTCACAATATTACATTCAGTTTAATTGGGGTGGACACCTTGGATTGACTGAATTTGGGAATGCGCAGTGCTGATGAGTTTGCAGGAATATCAACAGAAAGAACTAAACGTTCTTATAAAATAGTAGAAGAATGTCACAGGCCAATTTTTCTTTTGTTCTATTCTATAAATAAAATAGAGTTGATCTTGATATATATACCCTTCAAAGAATTAACTGTTACAGCATGTCAACAATGGAATGAATTGTTGTACTGATCTATTTTTAATGCCTTTCTGCAGCTCCAATTGCATCATCTTGTTCAATGAGATTTTATTGAATTATGGAAGCATAGAACACAAACAAGTCTGTGCTGGTGTTCTTGTAAACAACAACAAGATTACGTTTGTATCGTGCCTTTCACGTCAGGAGGACGTCCCAAGGCACTGGACAGAGTACAGCATTTCAGACCCGAGCTAAGGTTGGGGAGGTAGGGGAGGGGAGGGAAAGGGGGCGGCCGATGGCATGGTCGAAGAGGAGGGTCTTGAGGCGGGACTTGCCAATGGTGGGCCATCTAACCTAATCCTACTCGCCTGTTTGCTCTCATAGCCATTAATCTTCCTCTCTTTCAAGCATCCAATTCCCTTTTAAAAGAAAGGATAGACTCCGCTTCAGCAGTGGTTTGTGGCAGTGAATTCTAAGTTCCAGCTACGCTTTGTGTACAAGTGTTTAGTCTAAAGCCCCCTTTATTTACTTTTGTCTATCTTAAATCTGCTTTTTCGTTAATGACTCGCCGACTCAGTTCCTAACTTTTCTTTATGCTAGATTCCTTCCGCAACGTGTCCTTCAGTCCATCATGGAAGTTTGAATGCAGGGAAAGCACCATCTTTCAAGCACCCAGTTGCTGCTCCACCAACTCTGCCTGAGAAGAAGTTCCATCCACTGCCTATTGCTTTGACAGTCTTTCTTCTGGTGGTCATTCTTGCAGGAGCTGCAGCTGCTATCTGGTACTTTGTGTGTAAGTTGAACATTTACCATTTGCTATTAATGTTTTGAACCCCCGTATGGTAGGAATACACCAACTAAAAACAAAGGAGGATCCAAACTGTGTAACCATGGCTTGGGAGGCACTGTGATGGATCTTTTACTTCCATTGGGAACAGAGAAGGTTCAGAGGTGATATGGTAGAGATGTTTAAGATAATGAAAGGGTTTCTTCTAGGAACTTATTAAGAACGTCAGAACTGGGGATGGCCATTTTGTTTGTCTCTGTGGAATCACTAGATAATTAATTTATATTCATATTGCGCCTTTTAGGTCGGGAGGACATCTCAAAAGGGCTTCACACAACTACTAACTGGGAGCCCAAGCTTAGATGAGTTGAGAGCTTATTGTATTATGCTGATTGACATAGAGAAAATAAAGCCAGAACAATATTTTCAGAGAAGTACATCATTAAGATGACACAGGTTCAGGCATGTGAAAGGTAATTTTAAGAGAAGTAACAGGCATAATTTCCTTACATAACAGTAATGAGCAGCTGGAATAGGTTACCAGGAAGAGTGCTAGAAGTCAGAACATTAATTCATTTAACAACAACAACAACAAGATTCCATTTATAGAGCGCCTTTCATGTCGGAAGGACGTCCCAAGGCGCTGTACAGTTGGGTCAGGACCCGAGCAGGGGGGAAATGGTCAGGAGGAAGGGAGGGAGCGAGGAGGGGGTAGAGAGTCGAGAGGGGAGCCGAAGGCACGGTCAAAGAGAAAGGTCTTGAGACCGGCCTTGAAGGAGGAAAGGGAGGAGGCGGCAAAGGCACAGGAGGATGGAGTTCCAAAGCCTAGGGGCTGAGAGGCTGAAGGCCCGGCCACCGATGGTTGGGCGTTTGGGGCGGGAGATGTGGAGCAGACCAGAGCCAGAGGAACTGAGGGTTCGGGCAGGAACAGCTTGATGTTGTAAATGGTAAGAAAGTAGATTAAGTATTCAAGAAGGATTTGATCAAGTGGGTCAGAGGGCTTTCTTCATTGCATACCTGTCTTAAGGTCTTTCTATCTCCCTCTTAAACAAGTTAATTAATCCTGCATCTGTGGCTTTCTGAAGTGACTTATTCCACATTCTTAATACCCTTTGTATAAAATTGTTTACCAGACTCACTTTTAATTCACCTAGGTCTAATTTAAAATAGTCCTTGTTTTCACTTCCTTCACCAGAGGGAAGAGTTGTTCCAAACGTTCTCAAAACATCACAAGAAGGGTTCGGACAAAGCACCTCCTTACTCTTTGCTCTGTGAGCCAGAGCAGACTCAATAGGCCAAATGGCCTGCTTCTGCAATGTAGATTTCTCTGTTTCTATGAAGAAGGCCCCTTCAGCCTGTTTGATCTCATCCATCCCAAATATTAATAAGTGTTGCATTTGATATAGCTCCTTATCACATCGTTGAGACATCTCAAAATACCCACCCTACCATCTTTCCTTAATAGCATCAAGCAGTTTTTTTTAAAAAAATTAGTCCTGCCCTCAACCACTCTTCCTAGTAACTTGTTGCAGGCTCTTTACCTTATAAGCAAAAAAATACTTTCTGGTGTCTACTTGAAATTGCCCTTTACCACCCTAAAACTCTGTGCCCTTGGTGCATCTGAAAGTATTGTTCTGGGATAACTTTATCAATCTCATTTTTTTAAAAATTGTATCTCCTTAAGGTTCCCTATGAGATGTCTGCTTTAAAGCCTGACCAAAAGTCATTGTTGTTCTAAAGTATTGATCTGAGTGATGCTCAATTACACTTTCTCTAATGGTGGATTTCAATAATTTTCTTAGTGCTGATGTTAATATTGCCATAATATAGTTACTTAGTTGTTTCATCCTTCTTGAATAATGGTGTAACTTTCCCTACCATCAAATCTCTTCTTTATTGCAAAAACAGTGTTTTTTCAAACGTTAACAAGCTCAGAGAGTAAATTAACCCCATCAATTCTGATTAAGGTGTGCTCAGTCAAAACATTTCCAAAAGCTGCAAGTACAAAAATTGTGCAGACAAATTCATATATATTTAAATACATTTTTAAATTATATTTTGAATAAATTATATTTATTTTTAACAAATATACTTTCCACTATTAAAATATAACCACACAACTGTTGTCTTCTAATGGAATCTTATTTATAGATCCTTGAGTCTCATGATATTGAGATTACTTTGGGAACAATTTATTTTACCTTTTCTAACATTTTTTTCATGTTTCTGGAAATATATTTTGAAGCCAATTGCGTGTGCTCTGGCATGAAGGGGATTACTTTACTAAGATTGTTATGCAGTGCTTAGTTATCTATGCAGATTTTGAAATGTTTCCACAATTATGATTGATTTTCCTATACTCTTTGCACTTTTCAACAGATGACGATGTTCCAAATCTTTATTTCAGTGGATCAATGAGACTGCTCAATATTTCCTACAGCTCTGTTTTAATGGACCATAGCTCAACAGAGTTTAAGGACCTAGCCAGCCAGGTGGATGAATTAGTAAGTTACATCATGTTCATGTTTATTATTTATTATTATTATTAAGGGATAACCCTCTTTAAAGAATCTACAAACAAAACAGCTGTAATTATTACTAAGAAAATCCTAAAATAAACGTTAGTTTAGTTTAAAATTGAAGGCTACTCCTTTTTTGCCAGTGTTGTAAGAGGCTTGCCACTGATGTCCCAACTGATGTTCCAGTTGGGACATTGATACATTGGGCCATCGTTCAGATGAGACTTAATCAGAATTGATGGGCTAAAAGTTTCTGTGTGCCTGTTCAGGAAGATGTTAAAGGAAAGGGAGTTTCTCCCAGTATCCTGCTAGCAATCTGTCAGACAAATCTATCATTCACTTTCTGGCTGGGGCTTTGAAGTCATCATGCAGGCTGAAACTCCAATACAATGTTGAGGGAGCACTGCATTTTTGGAGGTACTGGCCTTCAGATGAAGTATTAAACTGAGTTCCAGTCTGCCTATTCAGGTTGGGTGTTAAACATCCTATTGCACTACTCAAAAAGCGAAGGCAAGTTTCTCCTAATGTCCTGACTAACAGATAAAACTGATCATTTTCTTTATGGCTGTTTGTGGGACCTTGCTGTGTTTGTTTGACAGCAATTACATGTGAAAAGCTTTGAGCCACTTTGAAGTTAGGGGTGCAATCTGTTCAAATTACATTAAGATAGTTAGATGGAAAAAGTGGCCGAGAATAAAATAAAGGTGGAAAAACACCATAAGTGAATTCCGTTCAGTGCTTTTCACTTTAGTGTACAATATCTCAATACCCTTTTGTTATGCGTTGCACAGCTGAATCAGATATTTCGAAGCTCCCAACTGGCACAACGTATTGTCGGAGTCAAGACCGTCTCTTTCAGGTGGGAGTCAATTACTTTTCTCTCTCCCAGAGAGCTTATTGTAAACTTATTTTGTGCAATTGGACGAATATTCTCTGCAGTTTAAATCACAAAGCAGTTGTGCATTGCAATGGATATTTCCTGATAGGTCGTATTCTGCATCTGTTCACAGCAATGGCAGTGTGCTCGCTTATTTTCTGATGACATTTTCTGTGGGAAGAAACAGGCTTCTTGAAGACAGCAGGATTTTGTATGCCACCAGTGTGGCTAACGTACTGAATAACTACCTCAGGGAAAGGAGTGAATCCACAAATGCTACAGCACTGGCTGGGACTCTCCGTATAGATCTTAATTCCATTAACGTTTATGGTATGACATTTTCGTGCAATATCAGGCTTCGGACTTAAAGCTGTTTTTGGAAACTAATAGTGATTTTCATTTAAAAATCATTTATATTTGGGGCTGATCATTATTTATTGTATCAACATCAAGTGAACAACACTAATGGGTTATGGGGGCGGTGGGGAGGGGGTCGATCCTATGAACATATTGCTTTAAATCCACCTTCTTAGTGTCTGGAGGCTCCGTCCCAGATGAAAAAACAGAAAATATTTAAATATGCTCCGTTGTGTGACTATGTAAGTCAGATATATCTTTTCAACGGGCTTTTTTTTTTGCTGGTATATGACCAGTGTGATATACAAAGGTAACCAGTGCTGCAATTCTTACATCTTGATGCTGTGATGGGAGAATAGGAGGGATTGGGTATTCTGGAGGATGAGATCAAATGGGCCAAAGAGATCATCTGAATCGTGATCATGTCTGAAATGAATTTTATAAATGTTGCATTAAATTAACCCTTCGCCTGAAGAAAAAACATATTACAAAAGTTCCCAACTCCGTCATCACATCAACTGTAGCATGAAACCTTTTCAGAGCTTAACATACTTTGACATTGCACTAAGATTTTCTAACTGGTTGTTTCCGGCTATTCCAGGAAATCAGCTGATTCAAAAACTTTCCATTACAATGCTAATAGCCCTTAAATATTTACATTGGAGGGCTTCAGTTATATTGCATTGAATATGATTTTTAGTTGTCTCTTTTTGTATTTTAGTCTATTTTAAAATCAGGTATTAATCNTTTTTCTTCCAATGGTCCTCTGTTACAGAAACAAATCCAGATGAGCATTTGCTCTTCTCTGATGAAGGTATACCTTTTTTTCAATATAAAGAAGCTTAAATTGTAGTAGTTTTGTGAATGCTAGATTATTGTTAAATGGGAGAACAAGTAACCAGCAAAATGTTGGTGATTATTTCATCTGTTTCCATACCAGTGACATTAGCTCTAGGATTCTTGTTGGTGGATCAAGGCACTCCAATACAAAAGTAGAGGACATAAATATAGGGTGGCTCTGTCTCACCCTCTCTCTTTCTGTCTTAAATCCAGCCTCAAATGTTACCTCTTTGAAAATGCCTATGGTCATCTCCTCTCCTCCCCTTACTTGGCATCCTACCCTGTCCCTGTAAAGTGCTCCGAGACATTAACAAACATGAAGGGTGCTGTACAGGGTGAATCAAAAGTCCTTACTCGTAGATTTATCAGAGATGTTTACACTGCAAGCCATGTAAACATTTGCCCATATCAAATCGGTGACAAACTTTCATGAACACAATGAAAGACATCTCTTGTAATAGCTGTACCTGCTCTACAAATGTTGTCTTGAAACAAAGAATATAATTAATAATTAAAAACTCCACAAGTAAGGACTTTTGATTCACCCTGTATAAAGACAAGTTATTGCTGTTTATAATTGATGTAGGCAAGCTGATAAGGAATTCAGGAGAAACGTCTTCATGTAGAAGGGAGGTGAGAATGTGGAACTTGCTGACAGAAGCTGTGTTTCAACCAAATAGCATTGATCTATTTAGGGAAAAACTTGATGCATACATGAAAGAGAAGGGAATAGGTGGGACGGGGGTTTGTGTGGAGAATAAACATCTTTTAGCTTTAATAGTTCTACAATGGGCTGTATCTTTAGAAGAATAGTTCAAGCCAGTAAATGGTGTCACCGGCATGGACTAGTTGTGCCGAATGGCCTGTTTCTATAATGTACAATCATGTAATTGAACTGAGAGATTTGCATTGCATGTGATGATAGAAATATTTCTTAACAACCTACAATTCAGGCAGAGAGAATGGTTCAGTGCTTAAAATGACTGTGAGTACCATTGAATACCATGGTCGTTCTTGGATTGTCCAAGTTAGAAAGGGTTAAAGCGTGTCCTTTTAAACATAGAGATAAATGACTGCACAGTTACTGTTCCGGCCTATCTGCAACCTGAATCTTCAAGTTTAAAAAGTAGATCAGGAGACGAAACCTTGCCAAGAAACCTAAAAGCAACTGAGATAAGATAAGGATTTAACAAAAGGTTCACAATAAAAGCAGGTAGGAAACGAGAGCGAAATTAAGCTAGAGTAGAGGACACCAAAAAATAAAAGCTGCTTAGTTCGGTTCAGTTTGGTGAATGAACCCCATTGGAAGAGATAGACTGTCTTACATTCAGCGTGCGGATGACTGATTTGCCCAAACTAATTTTGTATGGTAATATGATGGAACAGGTCAAAAAAGTAAAAGAACCCATCAAAAGTGTAAAATAAGCTGCATGGGAAAGTGGCAAGAAGTTACATAAAGTAATGGACCGCCTAGTGGGTGTGTTTAGGTGAGCTCGGTTGAATTGCCGAGGCTATTCTGATGCATGGCAGTCAGATCAGCTTCAAATACTTATCACAGTTTGATCTCCGATCTACAATTTAAATGACACAAATCATGAATGCTCAATTGTACCTAGTACAATAAATAAATCCGGCATTTGTCTCACACTGGCACGGATTTTAGACGCATGGTAGAGTAAACCTTTGCAATATTGTCAGCCTGGCCCAGTCAGTAGCACTCTCGTCTCTGAGTCAGATGGTGGTAGGTTCAAGCTCCACATCAGGACTTTGAGTTTATATAATCTGGGCTGACACTCCAATGCAGTGGTAGAGGGTGCGCTGCAATGGTGTACATTATACATAATTGTACATTGTACATAATACTATTTGAAGAGGTAGGGAGTTTCTCCTGATGTCCTGGCTAATAATCCCTCAAATGAAATTGGTCATTGGCTTCATGGCTGTTTGTGGATATTGCTATGCTCAAATTGGCTGCCGCGTTCGCCTACAAAATACAGTCATTACACTGTACAGTATATCCTGTGCAGCGCTTTCAAACATCCTCCCAAATTCAATTTAACTGCATTGCACCACCATTCTACCTGCTTCATACCTTTCCTGCAAGCATACCACTAACATTCTGTCTGCCAATCATCAACTATTGCGCACTTACTCGGTATGCTCATATACAAAGTATGTTCACTGAGAAGATCCAGTAAACTGCTCATTAAAGCTTGATTATTATTCAACAATANTTTTTCAGTGATATTGCTATAGCTAATAAGAACAATGCTCCTCTTTCAGTTACAAGGAAAGACTAACAGAGCATAACATATACAGATTAAAAAGATGGAACAAATGCTCTGATTCAGAGATGGCACAGTCGTGATGGGCCAGATAGCCGCCTTCTGAGCCATAAATTTCTGTTTATTGTATGATTCAGATATGAGCGTACTGTTGACTCAGACTGTGAAAGCAGACCAAGGGGGCACAAGTTCAAATTGAGCAAATCTCAAGTAAAAGTAGAGATTCAAGAGATTTTTTTTTCTCAGTATGGTGGATTTACTGAACAGGTTCTCAACAAAAACAACTAAGGCTATGTCTATGAATGCCTTAAAAAATAGTTAGATAAATATTTAGTGTGAGACTTAAATGGAGATTAAGGAATAGATGTAGACTGCGAAAATTAAGTACAACTTGGGGCGCTTTACAACATCAAGGTTCAATGCCAAGCAAGGAAGGAGGAATCTCTGTAGGGCAAAATTGTGTCTAATGTGTTCCAATTAGAAGCGGACACTCCTTCTGGTAACTAAAAGTATCCTGTCAATTTGTGGGAACTCACCTTCAAAAGTAGATTGTGTCAAAAAAAAAGTTTCTGTGTGTCAGGGTGAAATATTTCTGTACTTCCTTGTTAAGGAATCCCACCAGAAACTGCAGCATATTAGACCCCAAAGGACCTTTTTATGAGGACAAAGAAGGTATGGGTTTAATAATGGAGGTGGGAGAATAGTTTAATATTGTAATGTTTTGATGATAACCTTCGCGGAATTTAATAGATCAGTCTGAATCAACAATGCATTGCACATGGTATCTGGAGAAGGAGTGAGTTTAAGGGTCAAATGACATTATATTATGCTGTGCTGCTATGTATTTACCTTAATACATAATTAATACATGATTTAATAAATCTCCAGATGAGATGTTAAACCATGATCCCATGGCACTATGGTACTATTTGAAAAGAGAAGGGAGTTTCTCCCCAACAATAATACTGGTCATTCACTCCATGGCTATTTGTAGGACTTCCCTTTGCACAAAATTGGTTGCCACATTCGCCCACAAACACACAATTACTCTACCTTACAGTAAATCCTATGAAACGCTTTGAGAAATCCTCCTAACATCAAAGGCACTACCTCAAGTGTATGGATTATTATTGTTGCTATTATTAATTGCTTTTGAAAATTCTATTCCTTAGTAAAGCTGAATGGTTTTGTTTCACTCCTCAGCGTGCTCAGTGATTGACAGAAGGATCGAGTGGGATAAACCTTTGCCATGTCGCTGGGAGATAAGAGCTCCTGTGGGGCATTTACTACAAATTACTGTCCAGAATTATTTTAACAATGGCGACTGTCGTTTAAATTTTATTGCATTTTATGACTCACTGGTGCCTGGGAAAAATAGACTAATCACAAGGTAAGGCTGCATAAGATCAGCTTAGTTCATTTTGTAGTCAATGGCTTTAAGTGAGCACTGAAGTGAGCACTGCTATTAAGCAATTGTGTATAACTGTGCAAAGGATCCTCCACTGTCTCTTAACATCTTGTTCAATGTTGATCCAATGAATATTCTTGTACAACATAGATCAAAACGGGAATCCGGCCAGTTCAAGAGAAAAGTAATTCATTGATGTTTCACTTTCAGAATGTACCATAGAAACAACCACAGAGTGAAACCGTAATTCTTCCTTGGAATACTAAGGACAAAGCAGCTGTTGCCTAATTATATGGAGTCCTGTAGCTCAAATTCTGGGCCTCAGATTTATTATGTTTTTAAATTGGGAGGCCAGTAGCTCAGTGGTTAGAGTCCTCGCCCCACAAGTAAGAGACCTGGGTTTGATTCCCGGCAGGGAGAAACGTTGGGCAAGTTTCCTTACTCCACACGCCTCTGCTTACCTAGCAGTAAGAAGGAATCCTACTAGTCAAGTTAGTCAATTGGAGGATCGCTTTTCCAGGGGTAATAATTCCTTCAAAACATTTTTTTAAAAATTTGGTCACTCAATCCACAACTGTGGAGTGCCTGGGTGGTACATTGTTTCAACACACAAACCTTTCAATTGAGAGATGCCCCAAATTCCTCACGGCAGTTTTCAATAATTCTTAAAAACAAGTGGAAAATGTCTTCCAGACTAAGACTGATTTTAAGAGTTTTCCAAGGTTTTGCACACTCTTAACATTTTAAGACAATGCTCTAAAACCTAAGACCAGAGGAATTTCAGAATTCTATGGTTCATATCTAACCTAGAATGATGGATTAACTGAAAGTTTATAAGAATACCATGTAAAATACATGAGGGAAGATTCAATCTAGATTCAATCTAGGGAGCACAAAACTGGTCAGTTACTGAATGCAATCACAACACATAAAACACTGTGATGTGTGGGAAGGGCAAAAATGCAGACTGAAATAGGGAGAGGAGGGTCATCTGAGGCTGAAGCAGAGTCAGAGCAGAGAGAGCTTTGTGCTCCTGACCTGTGTTAGCAAACTGTTGCCAAGTGGTTTGTAACCTGTGCAAACAATATAAAAATGCCTTAATATTGCTTGTGATGTTCTTTCCTAATACATCAGTTGTGCAATAACTCTTTCTTGCAGAGGGATCATTTTGTTGAGGGCTCGTCCCTCGCACCCTCTGCCCCACCATCGGAGGTCGTGCTTTCAGCCACTACACCCCAAAACTCTGGAACACTCTCCCTCAATCCCTCCGCCTTGCCCCCT